GCAGAAAAGCAACCAAAAATGTACGGGTAAAAGATAAAAATGAGAATTAAAGGTAAAAAAAAAAGGGGGGGGTTGTCTTTAGATAGAGCTTTTTATTTTTTTTAAAAAAAATGAGTAAAGTGTAGGTAAAAGAGGGTAGGTAAAAGAGAGTGGAAAGTCTGGGGCGAAGTGGCAGTCCCAGGAGATGGCCTGTGATGGTTCAGGGCTGTTTTCTGGGTACTGCCATTTTAAATCTTAAGAGGGGAGTTTGAGGTGGAAATAAAATGAGGTTTAAATTGAGGATGTGTGTGTGGAAAAGTGTGTCTTTAAATAGTGAGTAGAAAAGATAGAAATAAAAGTAAAGATTCAAATAAAGGGTGGCTGCAGCAGCAGTGGCCCCTCTTTTAAAAAGAAAAGTGGTAAAAGTAGGTATATGGGGGGGAGGGATAAGAAAGATGTATATATATATTTTCTTTAAAGGGAGGGAGGGGGGAGGAAGGGGTTAAAAAAAGGGGGAGTTAAAAAAAAAGGGGGGGGAAGGTTGTTTTTTCTTTTCTGTGGTCTCCTTTGTTATGCAGCTTCTCTGTGTTTTCCTTGCCGCTGGAGCTCCCGGTAGGGCTCAGCCACGTGTGTTTTTTTCCCCCTTCCTTCCCCGAAGCCTATTTTGCCTTCACCGTGCTCACCTACCTCTCCTCTGCTTTCCCGTCGGCAGAGATGGGGGCAGCAACGGTAAATTTGGGGCTCCTTTTTCTTTCTTTCTTTTCCTTCCTCTCTCTCCCTTTCTTTCTCCCTCTTTGCGTTAGCTCCACTGTCCTCCTGGTTTTGGAGCTCCTCTCGGCTGTTGGGGGGGGGTCGGGTGCCTTTCCGGCTCAATCAAGGTCGTGGGGGGGTGTTTTGGCTCCTTTGATAGATGCCCGGGCACCCCCAATTCCTCTCCGTTGGCGTGGCTGGCAGCAGCAGTCCTGGGGGGTCCGGGAATCGGTCGCCAGAGCCTTTTATTCTGGCTGGCTTCAGGAGCTCTTTTCTTCTGCTGCTGCCGCCATGCTGCCTCGCCGGAAGTCCGTTTGTCAGAGATGTTAAAAACGGGGAGGGTACCTTCAAGCCTATGTGGTAGGACTGTGTGAGGACATGAGAATTTGGGGGTGTAATCTATAATGAGGAAGGATATGCTGTGGAAGTCCAGGTTTGACAGCTGTTCCTCTTCAGGGTAGAACGGAAGGGCAGACCTTCTCGGCGTACGCAGGATAGCAGCCTGGGAGTCTTAGCCTGGGTAGACAAAATTCATCCCTGTGTCTTTGGATGCACTCACATCCAGCCCACTTTGCAGAACATGGGACATACTGTGGTACCTTGGTTCTCAAACACCTTGTTTCCCAAACGCCGAAAACCCAGAAGGAAGTGTTCTGGTTTTCGAACATTTTTCGGAAGCCGAACATCAAATTCGGCTGTCGGCTACTTTGGGGGCGCCTGCGCCAATCAGAAGCCGCACCTCGGTTTTTGAACATTTTGGAAAGTCAAACAGACTTTTAGAACGGATGAAGTTTGGCACTTTTTTTTTGCTCTTTATTTTGCTTTGATGCTTTTTCGGTTGATTTGTTTTTGTGACCGTGTGGAGCCCAGTTCAGCTACTGATGGATTGATTGTGTGACTGCGGAAATAGATAGAAGCCCCCACCCAAACAGTGACTTTAGCTACGAATGGATGGATGGATGGATTGTGTGACTGCGGAAATGGATCAAAGCCCCCCATCCAAACAATGACTATCGTCAGTGCAGGTCAGAAAAAAATTACTATATTTTTCTGTGTATAAGACACCCCTATTTTGGGGGACTCCAAATTAAGAAAATGGAGGGAGATTGTATCCGTGTATAGGACAACCCCCCATTTTTGCATGATTTTTTCAAATAAATAAACCCTAGTCTTACACACAGAAAAGTACAGTAATTTTAATTTTTATCACCTACCATGCTGTTTTATTTCTTTTATAGTACAGTACATTGCTTACTGCTTTCATTTGATGATTCAGTGGTCCTGTTAGATAGCAAAATTCATGTGAAATGGCTGTTTTTAGGGGTTGTTTTTCAAAGCCTGGAATGTGTTAATTTGTTTTTCATTCCTCTCTATGGGAAAGAGCGCCTTGGTTTTCGAACACTTTTGTTTTGGAACCGATTTCCGGAACAGATTCAGTTTGAAAACCAAAGGACCACTGTATTAGCACAGCAACCACTCCAGGCCCAGTGTGGCACATGCTACTGCAACGGCGAGTGGGATTTGCCCGTGCGCCTGGCATCATGGAACCGGGCTGTCACAAGCCAAGTTGAGTACAGTGGTACCCAATTATTTAATTATTTATTTATTTATTTATTTATTTATTTATACCCCTCCCATCTGGCTGGGTTTCCCCAGCCACCCTGGGTTCCTCCCAACCAAGTATTAAAAACACATTAAACAGCATTAAACATTAAAAACTTCCCTAAACCTTGGTTCTCAAACTTAAAGCGTTCTGGAAGTCTGTTCCAAAACAATCCATCCATCCGTAGCTAAAGTCATTGTTTGGATGGGGGCCTTTTATCCATTTCTGCAGTCACACAATCAGTCCATCAGGAGCTGAACTGGGTTCACACAGTCACAAAAACAAATCAACTGAAAAAGCCTTTTAAAAAAACAAAAATGCCAAAAGAAGAGCGAAAACAATACGCTAAACTTCACCCATTCCAGAAGTCCAAATGTTCAAAAACCAAGGCGTGGTTTCTCATTGGCGCAGGCGCCCCAGAAGTAATCGCTGACAGCCATGTCGGACCTTCGGCTTCCGAAAAACGTCCAGAAACCAGAACGCTTCCTTTTTTTCTTTTCTTTTTTAAATATTTTTATTGCATTTTTTAAGAAAAGAAAGTCACCAAACATATAACAGACAAAGAAAGTATACAGAAAAAATAATGGATAATCACAGCCTTTCATACATTTTTTCATAGCCCTCTGGACTTCCTCACATCTCCCTTTCCTGCGTTCTCCGGACAAAAGTTATATTCCGCAATTTATTACCTTATTTCAAATCTTATGTTCTAGTTCTAATGTGTTATACCTATAATTTTAAATGTTTCCCTCAAATATTAAGCTACTTAGTTTAGGCATAACATTACTTCAAATCTCATTCCTATAGTTCAACTTATTCTCATACATTTCTCATCTAGGCTACTGATGCCAAGTTCCTTCCTTTCAAGCACTTTCTTAACATTCAAACAATTTATAAAGTCTTTGTAGGTAATCTTTAAACTTCTTCCAGTCCTCTTCCACCTCCTCTTTTCCCAGGTCTCGAATTCTGCCAGTCATCTCGGCCAGCTCCATGTAGTCTGTCAGTTGCATTTGCCATTCTTCCAGTGTGGGCAGATCTGAAACCAGAACGCTTCCTACCGGGTTTTGGCATTTGAGAACCGAGGCATTTGAGAATCAAGGGACCACAGTGTACTGCAGCTAGACCTGCTGCTGGAAATTTGAAAATCTGTGTTCTTTCTGGGACACTGGTGAAAATCCCTTGTGGGAACCATATTGGCCCTGTGTGCCAGGGAGGTACAAATCACATGCCTGCATGGCAGCAGATTTTGCCCGAATTCCTTTTGATTCCATAAGAAGCTGGAATGCCTTCCCTTATACCCCTTTCCCCCCGCCACATTGCATTTCAAACACAGCTGCTATGTTGTTTTCTTAACCAGGGTGGATAAAAATCAATGCTTTTTAAAAATAAATAAATAAAATCATTTTTTTTATTTGAATCGGATTATTTTTATTTAAATCAGATTTTTTAAATGAAAGGCTTTTGGAGGATATAACCTTACTAAAGATTTTCTATTTGAGTTACATTATAGTCCAAAGGCTGTTCATCAGGAAAGAAGGATTTGTTTTAAGATTTTCATGTGTGCTAAAACTCAGTCTTAAAAACAACAAAACAAGTTTAACCACATCAGTTAACAAACATGGATACCTATGCTATCATGTTATTGCTTTAGTGAAATAAATGGTTTAAATTGTTATGAAGGAAATGATTATTTTTCTCCTTCCAATCAAGTACAGCAGAAAAGTTGTGCAAATAGAAAGCGTTAAACTTATTAACACTCACCATCATTTCATCATTATCTGTCAATGTATTTCTAAGAGTAGAACCAAATCAGTCATTTTTCATATAACTGTAAATACTACTCTGAAAATTTATTCTTCCAAAAATGAAACCTTCATCTGGTTGTAAATATTAAGATTATACCAGCAATAAACACCTAGTCTTATACACGGAAAGGTACGGTAGCTTCTCATAAAAGATATATGAAAGAATCCTAATTTAACAGTCGTGATGAATTACAATGTCTGCCTTCCTCATGGACAAGTAACCTAGAACAAAAAACATTTTTCGCTGTTGCTTGTGTGGGGAAAGCATTTCATTTTAATGGCCTGTTCCTTCTGTTTTCTTTTCCGTCTTCTTTTCCCTCTTGTGGTTTGTGTGCTTCAAATGGTGGCGGTCTGTCTCCTGGATCTCTTGAATGAATGAAACCTTTATTTGCGTCAGCCATAAGACGTAGCACCGAAGGAACATGACAATATAACAGAGCAAAATAAAGTCGATGATATAAAACACAGTTTAGAGCAGGCATAAGCAAACTCCGGCCCTCCAGATGTTTGGGACTACAATTCCCATCATCCCTGACCACTCATCCTGTTAGCAAGGGATGATGGGAATTGTAGTCCAAAGCATCTGGAGGGCCAAGTTTGGCCATGCCTGCTCTTAACTAAGTGGTAGCCAAACCTGGCCCCCTCCTGCTGTTTGGGGACTACAACTCCCATCATCCCTAGCTAACAGGACCAGTGGTCAGGGATGATGGGCATTTTAGTCCCAAGCATCTGGAGGGCCGGAGTTGAGAGTCTCTCCTTTCCTTCTCACTCTGTCCTCTTTCCCCACCTGCTTTTCCCCTCGGTGATCTGTTTGCCCTGCCAAATTCCCAACTTTATAGAATATCTCCTCTGTCCCCATTCAGCTCCTGGCAGTGCTGTCAGTTCCCCGGCCCACGCACCCAAAGTGCCCATGCGCAGCCGCAGCACAGACCGACTGAAGGCGGCCGGCTCTCCGTTGGGAAACGTTTCGCCAGAAATGGCGCAGGTGGGTCGGCGGCATTTGGGTCGATGACCGCAGGCGGGTCGTTGGTTCAATAAAAATACCAATAGCTTCCTCAAAGCTGATGGATCTCTTGATAGTTTTGATAGGGCGATAACAGTGCTTCTCTCACCGCAGTTTTAAGGATGATGTCCCAGATACTCTTAATAGTACAGCCCTGTTTCTGAACCTTCTTTTCTATTTTTGTAAAAAATAATAAAAAAAAAAATTGTCCAGCAGTGCCTTAGAGACCTACTCAGTTTGCTATGGGTTGAAGCTTTTGTGTGCAGGCAAATTTCTTCAGATACACGGAAACAGAAGCCCCCAGACCCTTATATTAGTGGGAGGGTGGGGCGGGGTTTTCTCTTGGAAGGGTAGTAGGAGATGGGTGATTTTATGGTACCAAAATGGAAACCTTCCTCTGTTTGTCCATATTAAAAGAATGCCAGCAAGGTCGAACCTTTCTGGGGGAAAAAGGGATTTTATGGTTCCAAAACAGAAACCTTCCTCTGCTTATCCATATTGAGAGGATGCCAGAAAGGCTGAACCTTTCCATAAAAAAGGATTACAGACCTGCACCTCCATGATTAATACTTGTAGTCAATATGGACAAGCAGAGGAAGGTTTCCATTTTGGAACCATAAAATCACCCATCTCATACTATCCTTCTGAGAAATACCCTACCCCACCCTCCCACTATATATCATGGTCTGGTGACTTCTGTTTCAGTGTATCTGAAGAAGTGTGCATGCACACAAAAGCTTATACCATGCATCCCCAACCTGTGGCTTATACCCAGAACAAACTTCGTTGGTCTCTAAGGTCATACTGGACCATTTTTTTATTTATTTTCAGCTATTTTGGGTCATCTGCATACTCTCCCTTGCTTTTTCCTTTCGGACTAATTGCAGTCATTCACAGTCGCCCACAGGTTGACCATACAGGTTGAGTCCTACTACCCTTTGGAGAAAAACCTCGCCCCACCCTCCCACTATCTATCAGGGTCTGGTTAATAATAATAAAAAATAATAAACTTTTATTTGTATCCCGCCCTCCCTGTCCGAAACTGGGCTCAGGGAGGCTAACACCAAATAGGTAACACTGGTATAAAATCAAGCAATAATGAAATTACCGTATTTTTTGCTCTATAAGACTCACTTTTTCCTTCCTAAAAATTAAGGGGAAATGTGTGTGCATCTTATGGAGCGAATGCAGGCTGTGTAGCTATCCCAGAAACCAGAACAGCAAGAGGGGTCACTGCTTTCGCTGCGCAGCGATCCCTCTTGTTGTTCTGGCTTCTGAAATTCAGAATCTTTTTTTTCTTGTTTTCCTCCTCCAAAAACTAGGTGTGTCTTATGGTCTCGTGCATCTTATAGAGTGAAAAATACAGTACCTCCTGAAAACAAGCCAGGATCAAATTCAAATCCAATTAGATGGCTTTCCACAGGATTGGGGTTGGGAACAGTAAACGCTCGTCAGGCCCAACTGTTTGCGCTGCTCTTATATGGGCCTGTGAGAACGCTGGGAGGCCTCTTTCATACTAGTTCTTATACAGACTTCGGTTTCTGTGTATCGGAAGAAGGGCACATGCCCACGTAAAGCTTAGACCCAGAACAAACTGAGTTGGTCTCTAAGGTGCCACTGGACAATTATTATTATTATTATTATTTTTTGACTGCGTCAGGCCAACACAGCTACCTACCTGAATCTTATATTTTTGTGTTGGTTTATTTGGTCTTTTTCAGTTACTAATATCTGTTCAAACTGAAGAGCTAATATACTTAACAAGAAAGTTCTTACAGGGCTGGAGGGAGAGCCTTATATTATAACAACAACAACAACAACAACAACACAGTGGTACCTCCGGTTGCGGATGGGATGTGTTCTGGAGCTCCGGTCGGATCCCGAGGTTTCCACAACCAGAGGTGCTTGTTCTGCGCAGGCATGCGGCGCGGTAGAGCGCTTCTGCGCAGTCATGCGCGCGAAACGCAGAAAAATACTTTCGGGTTTGCTGCATGCTGTCAGGGGCTCAGGAGCAGAGGCCTAGGGGAGAGAGGAAATGGAGAGCGAAGGGGAAGAATCTGAGGGCAGCGTAGGGGAGTATGACAGTGACCCGAGAGATTCCATGAGCTTCTCCAGCGAATCAGAAGATTCCCAGAAGGGGGCGCCGATGGTCAGGGCAAGGGGGGTCCCAGGGCGGACGCACCAGAAACAAGGGGCCAGCGGGGACTCCCAAAGCAGCAGCGGGAGATCAGGACCAGCTTCCCCACCAGATCGTAGTGGGGGGGAAGAGTCCCATGTGTCAGGGCCAGCGTCTCCTCCAGCGGGGAGAGAAGATGAGTCAGGGCTGACCACGCCTCTATCGGAGAGTGGGGGAACGGAGGGGAGGTCAGGTCCAGCTAGCCTCCCCGAAGGGGGAAGCAGTGACAGGAGCAGTGTAACGGTCAGGAGGAAGGTTGCTGGCTGGGCGCGCGCGCCAAGTTCGAATGTACAGGCGCGCGGGACAGCAGAAAACCCGGATTGGGAACCAGGTCCTAAAGCCCGCCGGAGGCAGGGGGAAGACTCAGGGGACTCAGTGTCAGAAGAGTCTAGGAAGGGCAAGACCCCAGCGGACAGGCGGAACCAGAGGAGGAAAGAGCAAAGGAAGAGGTGGAGCAAGGCTAGAGTCTTAAACTGGTGTCTGGGGGGAGGAGATTCAGACGGAGCTTCAGCGGTCTAGAGTTTGAGACGTAGAGCTGCGCGCTGCGGCTGTGAAAGCGAAACTGAACTTCAATAAAGACTTTTGTATATAACAACGAACTGGCGTTGGTCCTTTGTGAGCTGGGACCTCGGGCAGCTCTGACATGTGTGACATGCGTATCCCAAAGAATACGTGTCACCCCCAACGACACGTTCCCAAGATGGAGGGTGAGGGAACAGCTGCAGTCGCCTGTGGTTCCTGCGCAATGTTTGCCATCTTGCCAAAGGTTGCAGGCAGCTTTACCTGCAGCAATTGCATGTTGATTGCCCTCTTAAAAGACAAAGTCCAGCAACTGGAGGAACGTGTAGCTACGCTCCAAAGAATTAGAGAGCTGGAACTCTTCTTGGAAGCAACAGAGCACACCGTCTCCACCAAGGAAGAGACAGGGGACTCCCCTGAGAAGGTGGCTAGTTCACCAACACAGGAGCCAGATATATGGAGAAACGTGACTCAAAGAAGTAGGAGGCCCAGGGTTCGCTATGATTGTTTAGAAATACGCAATCGCTTTGAGGTCCTTTCCCCTAGCATGGAAGACGAAGAGCAGACTCCATTTGAGGATCTCTCCCTCATTACAGTCGATCAGGTATATGAAGACGAGGAGCAAAGGCAGTCCTCTGGGAATGTCCAGGCGACCTTGGAACTGACAGCTCACAGAAGAACCCCGACCAGACCTAAGAGGAGGCGTGTAGTGGTGATAGGGGATTCCCTACTGAGGGGAACAGAAGCAGTGATCTGTGGGCCTGACAAGATGTCTTGGGAAGTGTGCTGTCTCCCCGGGGCTAAGATCCAAGATGTAACTGAACGACTGCAAGGAATCATAAAACCCACTGACAAATACCCCTTCCTCTTGGTTCATGTGGGAACCAATGACACTGCAAGCAATAGCCTCCAGAAGATCAAAAGAGATTACGAGGCTCTGGGCAGGAAATTGAAGCAATTAAATGCACAAATTGTCATCTCATCTGTCCTCCCAGTTGAACGAAGTGGCCCAGGGAGAGAGGGAAAAATAGTGGAAGTGAACAACTGGCTTCGCAAATGGTGCAAACAGGAACGGTTTGGATTCTTAGATCACGGAATGCAGTTTCTTGAAGATGGACTTCTGGCAAGCGATGGGCTGCACCTCACAACGGTTGGGAGGAATGTTTTTGCAAAAAATCTCAGAAACCTCATCAGGAGGGCTTTAAACTGACTAATGTGGGGGAGGGAGACAGTGCTCCTGAAGGTAGGAGTCTATCAATTGATGAAGATGATCATCCAAATGTCATAGACCAAATGGAGCAAAGAGCATGCAGACCTAGTGGTGGGAGGAGAAAATCCTTAAATAAGAGACACGGGGGAATGATTAATGGACTTCAATGTCTGTACACTAATGCGCAAAGCATGGGAAATAAACAAGATGAGCTTGAGCTCCTGGTACAGCAAACTAAATATGACATAATAGGAATCACTGAAACCTGGTGGGATAAATCCCACGATTGGAATGTAATAATGGAGGGATACAATCTATTTCAAAGAAACAGACCAGACAAGAAAGGAGGAGGAGTGGCGTTATATGTCAGGGATGTGTATACCTGTGAAGAGATCCAAGATTTAGAACCTCAAAGCCAAAGTGAGAGCATTTGGGTCAAAATTAAGGGAGAGAAGAATAACAGTGACCTCATTGTGGGAGTTTACTATAGATCCCCAAGCCAAACGGAGGACATAGATGATGCCTTCCTGGAACAGATGGCCAAGCATGCAAAAGGAAGGGAGATAGTAGTAATGGGGGACTTCAATTACCCGGATATTTGTTGGATGTCAAATTCAGCCAAGAGCATAAGGTCAAACAGATTCCTCACTGCCCTTGCAGACAACTTCATTGTCCAGAAAGTGGGAGAAGCAACAAGAGGAACAGCCATTTTAGATCTGGTCCTAACCAACGTTGATGACCTGGTTAGTGGGGTAGAAGTGGAAGGATCATTAGGCGCGAGTGATCATGCTCTTCTGAAGTTTACTATACAGCGGAAAGGAGCAGCCAAGCATACTAGGACTCAATTTCTCGACTTTAAGAAAGCCGACTTCATAAAGCTTAGGGAAGTGCTGGGTGAGATCCCATGGACAGTAATACTAAAAGGAAAGGGAGTTCAAGATGGCTGGGAGTTTGTTAAGAGGGAGATAGTAAAAGCACAACTTCAGGCAATACCAATGAGACGGAAACATGGAAGGTGCCTAAAGAAGCCAGGGTGGCTATCTAAAGAACTTTTAACTGAGTTAAGATTAAAAAAGGATGTGTACAAAAAATGGAAAAGGGGGGAAACCACCAAAGAGGAATTCAAACAAATAGCCAGCACGTGTAGACACAAAGTCAGAAAAGCTAAAGCACAAAATGAACTCAGGCTTGCTAGAGAGGTTAAAAGCAACAAAAAAGGCTTTTATGGGTATGTTCGTAGCAAAAGGAAGAACAAAGAAACCGTGGGGTCACTCAGAGGAGAAGATGGTGAAATGCAAACAGGGGACACAGAAAGGGCTGAACTCCTCAATGCCTTCTTTGCCTCAGTCTTCTCCGATAAAGAAAACAATGCCCGACCTGAAGAATTTGGAGCAAATGATTCAGCAGAGGAAACATAGCCCAGAATAACTAAGGAGATAGTACAAGAATACTTGGCTAGTCTAGATGTATTCAAGTCTCCAGGGCCAGATGAACTGCATCCAAGAGTATTAAAAGAACTGGCAGATGTGATTTCAGAACCACTGGCAGTCATCTTTGAGAATTCCTGGAGAACAGGCGAAGTCCCGGCAGATTGGAGGAGGGCAAATGTTGTCCCTATTTTCAAAAAGGGGAAAAGAGAGGACCCAAATAATTACCGCCCAGTCAGTCTGACATCAATACCAGGGAAGATTCTGGAGCAGATCATTAAGCAAACAGTCTGTGAGCACCTAGAAAGGAATGCTGTGATCACCAATAGTCAGCATGGATTTCTGAAAAATAAGTCATGTCAGACTAACCTGATCTCGTTTTTTGACAGAATTACAAGCCTGGTAGATGAAGGGAACGCAGTGGATGTAGTCTACCTTGATTTCAGCAAGGCATTTGACAAGGTGCCCCATGATATTCTTGTAAAGAAGCTGGTAAAATGCGGTCTTGACTATGCTACCACTCAGTGGATTTGTAACTGGCTGACTGACCGAACCCAAAGGGTGCTCATCAATGGTTCCTCTTCATCCTGGGGAAGAGTGACTAGTGGGGTGCCACAGGGTTCTGTCTTGGGCCCGGTCTTATTCAACATCTTTATCAACGACTTGGATGATGGACTCAAGGGCATCCTGATCAAATTTGCAGATGACACCAAACTGGGAGGGGTGGCTAACACCCCAGAGGACAGGATCACACTTCAAAACGACCTTGACAGATTAGAGAACTGGGCCAAAACAAACAAGATGAATTTTAACAGGGAGAAATGTATTGCACTTGGGCAAAAAAAATGAGAGGCACAAATACAAGATGGGTGACACCTGGCTTGAGAGCAGTACATGTGAAAAGGATCTAGGAGTCTTGGTTGACCACAAACTTGACATGAGCCAACAGTGTGACGCGGCAGCTAAAAAAGCCAATGCAATTCTGGGCCTCATCAATAGGAGTATAGCATCTAGATCAAGGGAAGTAATAGTGCCACTATATTCTGCTCTGGTCAGACCTCACCTGGAGTACTGTGTCCAGTTCTGGGCACCACAGTTCAAGAAGGACACTGACAAACTGGAACGTGTCCAGAGGAGGGCAACCAAAATGGTCAAAGGCCTGGAAATGATGCCTTATGAGGAACGGCTAAAGGAGCTGGGCATGTTTAGCCTGGAGAAGAGGAGGTTAAGGGGTGATATGATAGCCATGTTCAAATATATAAAAGGATGTCACATAGAGGAGGGAGAAAGGCTGTTTTCTGCTGCTCCAGAGAAGCGGACACGGAGCAATGGATCCAAACTACAAGAAAGAAGATTCCACCTAAACATTAGGAAGAACTTCCTGACAGTAAGAGCTGTTCGACAGTGGAATTTGCTGCCAAGGAGTGTGGTGGAGTCTCCTTCTTTGGAGGTCTTTAAGCAGAGGCTTGACAACCATATGTCAGGAGTGCTCTGATGGTGTTTCCTGCTTGGCAGGGGGGTTGGACTCGATGGCCCTTGTGGTCTCTTCCAACTCTAGGATTCTATGATTCTATGATTCTAATACGTAACCAGAGGTGCACGTAAGTAGAGGTACCACTATAATAATAATAATTAAAAATAATAATAATAAGAAGAAGAAGGTACCTGTGTTGGTCTGACGCATGAGAAATTAATAAAACAATTAAAAATTGTCCTGTAGCACCTTGGAGACCAGAACAAACTTAGTTGGTCTCTAAGGTGCTACAGGACAATTTTTTTAAATAATAATGATGATGATGATGATTTATCCCCCCACCCACCTGTCTGGGTTTCCCCAGCCACTTTGGGAGGCTCCTAAGGGCAGTGTGTCTTTCAGGTAGCGTATTTGAAGTCCAATACTGTCATCATCTATGAATTTAACTTAGAAATCCTTCTGTGCCATGTCTTTGGGAGATCAGGTAGGTCCTTTGGCCGGAGCTCAGAGCAGCTAAAGCAGCTTCACATATCCTATATTCAGCTGCGGAATTGTCCGAATTGTCATTGTATTTTAATATTCTGCTGGAAGTGGCCCAGGATGGCTGGGGAAGCCCAGCTAGATGGGCAGGTTATAAATGATATGTTGTTGTTGTTGTTGTTGTTGTTGTTGTTGTTGTTGTTGTTGTTGTTGTTGTTGTTAATAATATGTTGTTGTTGTTAATAATATGAAATATATTTTTTATTTTTCTTAAAAGATGATCCAAAAAGAAGTCCCTTAAGAGAATTAAGTCTTTTGTCTTAAGACAGTCTTTAAAAGAATCTTTCCCCATTTTTTTAAAAAAATAATTCCAGTAGCACTTTAAAGACCAGCTAAGTATAAGCTTTCTAGGTTGTTGTTTTTATTATTATTATTATTATTGGATAATTTTACAATACAAATTGCTTGTTGCTTTTCTCATTTCCTTATATCCTGATTGCCTTTTAGAAAGCGGCAGCTTACCAGTATGTGTCTGTTATTCCCGCAGAAATCGGAGCCCGCAAAGCAGCCCTCGTCTACCAGTAGACGCGCTCCGTCGCCATCTTTGCCCAGTCCCAGGCGGTCTCCCTCTCCTGCCAACGTGGGTAAACGCGCTCCGTCTCCAGCCGCAATCAGGTTTCTATTCATCTCCTCTTCACAAATCTTACTCTAGAGTAAAACCAGCTTGGTCCTCCCTGCCCCCCTTGGTTGTTCTCCTCTTCATCTACAAAGGGACAATTGCGTTTGAGCTCCCAGGACGTTTCTGAGCACAATTCAAAGTGTTGGTGCTGACCTTGAAAGCCCTCAACTGCCTCAGCCCAGTAGACCTGAAGGAGTGCCTCCATCCCGGACGCCGGGGTTCCTCTCCCAAGGGCCTTCTGGTGGTTTCCTCCCTGTAAGAAGCCAAGTTACAGGGAAGCAGCAGAGGGCCTTCTCGGTGGTGGTGCCCGCCCTGCGAAATGCCCTCCCATCAAGGAAATAAACAACTATATGACATTCAGAAGACATCTGAAGGCAGCCCTGTTTAGGGAAGCTTTTGATATTGGATGAATCATTGTATTTTAATATTTTGTTGGAAGCTGCTGGCCACATGACCTGGAAAAAATGTCTGCAGACAAATGTTTGCTCCCTCGGCGAGTAAAGCGAGATGAGTTCTGCAACCCCAGAGTCATCTGCGACTGGACTTAACTGTCAGGGGTCCTTTACCTTTACCTTTACGTGAGCAGAAATGCTATATTGTTATGGACGGGAGCTGGCAGAACTGAGGAAGTGGGGGTGGGTTGACACCTTGGTTTGTAAGCCTTCCTGTCAAACTCTGTGGGGTCAGATTCAGCCCATAATTTTCCTTTAGCTTCTTGCATGTGCTAGTATGAAATCCAAATGAAAATTTAATAATAAAAATAATATTTATTTATTTATTTATTTATTTATTTATACCCACCCCGCCCATCTGACCGGGTTTCCCCAGCCATTCTGGGCAGCTTCCAGCAAAAGATTAAAATACATTAATTCATCAAATATTAAAAGCTTCCCTAAACAGAGCTTCCTTCAGATGTCCTTTAAATGTCTGATAGTTGTTTAATTTTTTTACATCTGATGGGAGGGCGTTCCACAGGGCGGGTGCCACCGCTGAGAAGGCCCTCTGCCTGCATCCCTGTAACCTCGCTTCTTGCAGGGAGGGAACCGCCAGAAGGCCCTAGGGAGAGGGACCCTGGCGTCTGGGATGGAGGCGTTCCTTCAGGTCTACTGGGCCGAGGCAGTTGAGGGGTTTCAAGGTCAGCACCAGTACTTTGAATTGTGCTCAGAAATGTACTGGGAGCCAATGCAGGTCTTTCAGGACCAGTGTTATGTGGTCTCAGCGGCCCCTCCCAGTTCCCAGTCTGGCTACCGCATTCTGGATTAATTGCAGTTTCTGGGTCACCTTCAAAGGTAGCCCCACGTAGAACACATGGCAGGATTCCAAGCGAGAGATAACCAGAGCATGCTGCACTGTGGCAAGACAGTCTGCGGGCAAGTGGGGTCTTATCCTGCGTACCAGATGGAGCTGCCCTGGAAACAGAATGGACCTGCGCCTCTATGGGTCCAAGATCACCCCCAGGCTGCGCAGCTGGTCCCCTTTCCCCCCAATACAGTACTTCTGTCTTGTCAAGATTCAACTTCAATCTGTTAGCCGCCATCCATCCTCCAACCGTCTCGGACACTCACACAGGACCTTCACCGCCTTCACTGGTTCTGATTTAAAAGAGAGGTAGAGCTGGGTATCATCCGCATACTGATGAACCCCCAGCCCAGCCCAACCCCCCTGATGATCTCTCCCAGAAGCTTCATATAGATGTTTAAAAGCATGGGGGAAGAGGCACCCCACAAGTGAGAGCCCAGGGATCCCCCCCCCCACTTTCTGGACACGGCCCAGGAGGAAGCAGCCGAACCACTGTATTACAGGGCCCCCAGCTCCCAGTTTAGGTATGATTTCCCTTGCTAAGTAGTTCTTAAGGCTATTGAAATATACAGTAATTTTCTAAGCTCTGTTGATCCTTGTAATTTCGGTGAGTAAAGATTTCTGAGGAAATTTCCCTCTTCTATTTCACTGTTGTAAAAAAGTGCTGTAAGGGGTAGTAGACCTGGATCTATTTAAATGCAGCCTTAACCTCAGAGTCAGAACTTCCTATCTGGACTAAAGAATTAGGAGCTAAGGAGTTACTTGCCCCAGAATACACTGTAGTTTTCCATGTATAAGACTGTATCCCCCCATTTTGTAAGTTTAAAATTGGGGTTCGCCTTATACATGGAATGTTGCCATTATTTATTTCTTCATTTTGGGCTCAAAAAATAGGGGTCGTCTTATGCACGGGAAAATACGGTAACTGTACATGTTTCTGTGCCGTGCAGTTCTCTGATCGATCCCTTTTTCTCATCAGACAAAAGTCTCATCCAAGTTCACCCAAAAGACAGTGGCCACCATCTCCTGTTTTGGTCTCCAAACCAGCACCAATTCAGCGCCCGTCCATCACCCCGAACGTCCTTAACGTTGCCAAAAAGCAAAGTGACCCAGTGTGCCGACCAAAGGAGAGGTTGGAGGATCCCGAGGGTCAGGATCCTGGCCCGGCGGCCATGCTGCACCCCTCCTCGGAGAGAGAACTGGCTGCAGCTGCTCCAAAGACCAAAGAAGGTAAGAGAACCTACGCGAAAGGTGATCCGCTCGCCTGTTGATCCACCCTTCTCCCCTTCCTGGGTCTAGCTCAAAGGTTTTCCTCACTGGAAAGAGTAATAATAATAATAATAAACAACTTTTATTTGTATCCCTCCCTCCCCGGCCGAGACCAGGCTCAGGGCGGCTAACATCAAATATAAACTCTGATATAAAATCAAACAATAATTAAATCGCCTCTTAAAAACAAGTCAGTATAAAATGGAAATAATGGTTGCCAGAGCCTTTGGAGGATGATGCATTTATCTGCTGTTACAGATGAGCTTTCAGGAATGTCACATGACTAAATGTGGTCAAACATGTATAATGCCGTTGATTTATGCATTATGTTGACATTTATTTTCTCAGCAATTCTAGTCAGTGAACAAAATCAGCGCAGTTTCTTAATAGTTTTCACATAGGAAGCATAAGGTGAAGGTACAGGACCCCTGTGCTGCTCAGTGCAGTCCAAGGTGACTAGGGTTGCGGTGCTCATAGGGGTTAGGGACAGGGGCTAGAGATCGGGATAGGGGTTAGGGATAGGGATAGGTAAAAATGTCAAGGACCCCTGGAGAGTTAACTCCAGTCCAAGGCAACTATGGGGTTGCGGCGCTCATAGGACCCTCGTACCTACGGGATCGTCTCTCCTGGTATGCCCCGCGGAGAACCTTAAGGTCCATAAATAGCAATACTCTAGAGGTCCCGGGCCCTAAGTGTCAGGACTGGTCGTTGTCCTCTTCAGATCACCACACAAACACTTCTTGTTCTTTTATAACTTTTTATTGTGTATTAACAAACTTATAAATGGTTCTTATCTTTAACTACTATTCCTCAGAGTCACTTATTTCAGATACCGTCTGAGCTCTGCTTCTCCGTGACCAGCCACCCTCAAAATGGCGAAGGCGCCCTTCCCTTCGCTTTCCTGCTCTTTTTTCTAACCTCCTGGCTAGAGCTGGCTTGTATCCCTCCTCCGAATCTGAACTAGAACTTAACCCTTGCCTTTTCTGGGAACAGCCAGTCTCTCTCTGTTGTTCCTGTTGCTCTCTTCTGTTAGATGCACTGCTCTCCTCCCCCCACCTTGGGGAAAACATTCTCCCTCTGGGAAACTGGAAACTCCTAACTCTAACTCTTCCCTGACACTAAGGAAGTTAGATTAGCCTCAACCAGAGCCAGGGCCTTTTCAACTCTGGCTCCAGCCTGGTGGAACGGTCTGTCTCATGAGACCAGGGCCCTGCAGGATCTGATTTCTTTCCGCTGGGCCTGTAAGACAGAGTTGTTCCACCTGGCCTTTGGCTTGGAATCAGCCTGATTCACTTCCTCTCTTTCCTTTTCCTTATGTGATGGAACCCCTATTTGGGACTTCCCTGGCTTTTTTCTGGCCCATGTAGGGCCAGTCTGGATAGTTGGCCTTGATGAAGATTTGATGTTTTCTCTCCCCAAACAGTTTTTGATCTGGGCTTCCACTGAAATGAGGCTGCATTTTAAGTTGTATTTTAATCCTGTTTTAATCCTGTTTTTAAGTTGTATTTTAATGAATTGAACTTGACGTTAGCCACACTGAGCCAGGTCTTGGCCGGGGAAGGCGGGGTATAAATAAAATAAAAAATAAATAGGGGTTAGGGATAGGGGATAGGGATAGGGGCTAGAGATAGGACTTAGAGGTAGGTAAAAAGGTCAAGGACCCCTGGACGGTTAAGTCCAGTCCAAGGCAACTCTGGGGTTGCAGCGCTCGTCTCGCTTTCTGGCCGAAGGAGCCGGCGTTGGTCCACAGGCAGTTTTCTGGGTCGTGTGGTCAGCAAGACTAAACTGCTTCCAGCGCATGGTGGAAACCAGAGTGCACGGAAACACTGTTTACCCTCCCGCCGCAGTGGTGCCTATTATCTACTTGCACTGGTGTGCTTTCGAACTGCTAAATTGGCAGGACCTGGGGCAGAGCGATGGGAGCTCGGCCCGTTGCGGGGATTCGAACCGCCGACCTTCCAATTGGCAAGACCAAGAGGCTCAGGTGTTTAGACCACAGCGCCACTCGCGTCCCTATAGGAAGCATAGCAGGTGATGTATGAATGGTTTTTGTTTCATCAGAATGAGTAATTAAACACAAAGACGGTTTGACTTTTTATTGACTTGTCTCTGCATATCTTTCTGCCGGCAGCCAATAGTCTCAGGGCTTTAGATACAATATTCTCAGCCTTTACTATATTCCATTCTTCGAGGGCTCTACTTTCCACTAATCATTTAAAATAGGAATCAAAGAGAAGACGATCCCTGCTTCTTAAATGCTCCTTGGTCTTGAACATTAAACTTGGTTGTGCAAAAATAGCACACCTACCCCTTTGATTTTAGTAATTGGTAGTTTGCTGTTGTTTTTATCACATGGCATTCTGTAGACTTGTCTTCGCATCAACACCCTAAAGCAAATTGCTGTATTTTTCTGTGTATAAGACTATATTTCCCCCCAAAATAGTTCAAAATTGGGGGTTGTCTTGTACACAGAATGTTGCCATTATTTATTTCTGAATTTGGGGCTCAAACAAATAGGGGGCATCTTATACACGGGAAAATACGGTATTCTGTACTTTTACAGATTTATACTGATTTGCCCAATAGGCTCAGGTTCTGTTATGCCCTTGTTGACTTCCCAAGCATAACCACATCTTACCTCGTACTCATCCATACCAGTGTTTTCAGCACAGTAGTCTTTCTGTCCACATACTTTGTGCAGTACAAATTGTACTATTTATGTGAATGAAATTTAGCTCTTTGAATCAAGTAGTCTCTTGCCTCAAAAACAAACTGTATTGTGCCCTTGAAGGTTAATGTTGTTTACACTTTCATCAACTCAATAAGTTTATCAGATTTTCATCAGATGCACCATCAGATTTTCAAAAGGACAATTAGTCAGTTTTAAACTTTGACATACCAATGTTGAAAACCAATGTTCTGACTGTATTGCAAAATTTTGGAACGAGGCTCAATTTGAAAATCAGTTAACAAATATATATTAGTTAAGTCTTTATTTCCCATGTCTAATGCCTCTGGAACACCGCTAAGTTGGCACTTCTGAAGTTTGTGGTTCTACTAATACAAAGGGGGGAAATGGATTTCTCAGGTGTTGTGACCTCTGACTTAGGAAGAGAGTGGTGTAAGTTCCCCTGAAAGGCTGGTTTCATTGTATGCGCAGTTGCTTAGGGGACGAAGAGTCACTTTTGGTCCCCCCTAGGGAAACTTAAAACAATGCGGAATGAATGCCTCAATCATCTCCCCTCCTTGCCCTGGTGCACAAGGAGCACATCCTCTACCCTTCTGAGCAGGATGGACACACCCTCTGTCACCTCTCAAAAAAGAGACATTTCGGATGAGATGTCCTGGGCATTTGTCTCCCTGGAGAAGGACTTAGGGGCTACCTTAGCAGAAAAAGGAGTTTGACCCAGGCACCTGGTGGAGGCATCTCTCTCTACAAACAGCCACAGGTGAGTGGGTTGCTTGGCTGCTACATTCGATGTCAAATGCACGTGATTGGAAGCATGATTCTCCTGGAGGGCTTCCCTCCAGGTTAATGCTTTAGGCTGATTGTCGTACGACTAATCCCTTTCGCGCAAGTCTTAATCATTTGTCTCCCCCGCCCCTTAGCTATTACGTAGAGCACACTCAGTGTTATATCAGGCACGTCTAACAGGTAGATCATGATCTACTGGTAGACCGCGGGGTGTTCCTGGCTGGTATCTGGTCTCCTTGTCTCCAATTTTTTAAAAAAAGGATAAAAAAAGCTGAACTACTGTTTCCTTCCTAATAAAAAGCTTGACCACTCTGAGTTCCTAAGAAAAGCTGAACAACCTTGCCTTTCCCAAAAACACTCAACAAACTTGGCTTCCAAAGAAAAGCCTAACAACATTGGCTTCCTAAAAAAAAGCTCAATAATGTTGCCTTTCCCAAAAAGCTCAGCAACTTTTGCCTCCTACCAACAAAAAGTGGACCATCCGATTAAGTTCTATCGGACTGCAGATTCAGGGCCCTAAGCTGTGTTTTATATAATTGACTTTTAATTATATTCTGTGCATATCGCAATGCTCCTTCAGTTCCATTCATTCATATATTCCGTTTCATTCATTCATGTTTTATTCATTCATATATTCCATTCTATTCATTCATTTGCTTCTGAAAAAAAAGCTCAACAACTTTGGCCTGCCCAACAACAACAGGTCGATCCCTGCCAGTTTTTTTACACTGTGAGTAGATCACAATCTACTGAGAGTTGGACGTCCCTGCTAGTCTAGTACAAGTTTGAATGGTTTGTCTTCCCCTCCCCTTCGCTATTACGTAGAGCACACTAAATGCTACGTGTTGACTAGCTCTGTTTGACAATATTTCACCTTCTGCGCAAATACGCCCCTGGCTTCAGACACGCATGTTTTCCTTTGCAGAGCCTCCGGCCTCCTACACCTTCCTGCCTGAGTTGCCACCCTCCATCTTCGGCCCCTCGTCTCCCGCTGCCTCGCCTTTCTGCCCTCAGGATTTCCAGCCCGCCTCCTCCGTCGCAAGGAAGATCCTTTTCGGATACGATCCGATGTCCCGGATTCGCGCTCCCTCTCGCTCCTCAGGCGACTCTCCTACTACCCCTTTCCACACCGATTTAATGGATGGCACCTGCTCCCCAAGCATGCTTCCTCCGCCTCGGGATCTCGGGGAAGACCAGGGAGCTAAGGGTGGTTTCCTGCGCAACTTTGCTCTGGAAGCTTCACGGCAGGGAGATGGGGTGGCTGTCAGCCCTCTCCGGTGCTTTAATTTCCCATCCCCTCAGAGGATCGGCCCAGGTTATATTTATACCTCCCGTTCCACTATCAGTCGGAGGTTGCCAAATAACCAGCCGGTGACTATGGCGACAGACCCCTATGTTCTGGAGAAATTGCTCCACACCTTCCAAACCATGCGGTGCAGCGTTGACAACATCAGCCAGGAGCTCAGGGTGCTGAACACCCACCTAGCCGATCTCTCGCACCACTTTAGCACACTGCCTCATCCTAGCCACTCTCCACACAATGGCCCCGAATACTATGGCTGAAGAGACCGAGATCTCCCAACCTTTCTAGATCAGGCCTTGTGTGCTTGGACCCCTGTCAGGCTTTGACTGGGAGGCACAATTTCTTGACAGGGAACAGCTCTTCCCCTTCATGCACCCATAGCTTTGAACAGCCAGGGAAGAGACCTTGTGCATTTATAATCCCTAGGTACTAGGCTCCGTCACATGACTTGGGGGAATGCTTGGCACCATCACATTAATATGTCTACTTTCCTCAGTTTGATGCTTCTATTGCCATACCACTTTAAATCAAAAAGCAATGCTAGAAATTGTCTCCAGTGGTGTACGTGTGTGACCTTTGGCAATTAAAAATGTCTCTTCAAATGCACAGAGCAGTCTACTTTTATTTTAGCCGTGTCTCAGTAAGTGCCATGCATATTAAAACACTGGTGGTCCTTCCAAACAATATCTTGAGAATTTAGAACAGTAGCACTGTCCATGATAATAGTCCAACATGTACCATTTTTTTCCTTGTCTAAGACTAGGGTTTTTTTTTACCAAAAAATTAGGTTTAAAAGTGAGAGCTCGTCTTATACACAGGTAGTGCTGAGGGGTATTTTCTTAATTTGGAGTCCCCAAAAATAGGGGGCGTCTTATACATGGGGTGTCTTATAGTCGGAAAAATACGCAATATTGTGTTACATTTTCTATAGGATAAGGGTCGGTGGGTTGATCTGCTTTAGGTTCTGCATTATTCAGACTTGAGGGCAAGAAACTTTTGAACCCAGGAGCAACTAGAAGTTCTACAAGTCTCTTAGTTGCTTTACCGTCTTAAATTCAGAAAGAATGCAGGGAAAGTTAAACTAGGGATGGGAACTAAATTTGTTCTTGGACACCAGAAAGAGTTGGGGTGGCATGGAGGACATAGGGAATAAAATAAAGATTTTGCTGCAGGGGGTGTGGGGCTCTGGAATGAGTTTTCCTTCTCACTTCCATTCCCTGCAGAAAATGGACCTTGACGGTCGGTCCAGTGTAACAGTCTACATACCCTATAGTTATAATCGTTCTGAAGCCATGGAGACAAGCTCCTAAAAGCAAGGGGAGGCAAACTAAGGTCCGCGGACTGTCTGGGATACAGCATGTTTTTACATGAGTAGAATGTTTCCTTTTATTTAAAATGCACCTCTGGGTTATTTGTGGGGCCTGCCTGGTGTTTTGACATGAGTAGAATGTGTGCTTTGATTTAAAATGCATCTCTGGGTTATTTGGGGGGCATAGGAATTCGTTCTTTTTTTCCCTTTTCTTTTCTTCAAAATATAGTCCGGCCCCCCACAAGCTCTGAGGGACAGTGGACTGGCCCCCTGCTGAAAAAGTTTGCTGACCCCTGGTGTAGACACTTCTGAGCTAGATAGGTCCAATGGTCTGACTTGGTAGAAGGCAGCTTCCTAGGTCCCTATATGAGCTTGCCTTATACTGAGTTAGACCACTGGTCATGTTGGCCAGCATGGTTTGACTGATGGTGGTACGCCAAGGGCTCAGCAGGAAGCACCCGCTCACTACCCAATGTCTTTTAAAATGCTTCGGGAGGAAAAATCTTTCCAAAGATTTTCAATTCATTATTATTATTATTGGTTTTTATAAACAGGAATGATGGTCTACAAATAAGTTGGCCCAGTTTTCTCCTGTCCTTTATCTATCACAAAAATAGCATAGATTCAGGTAGGTAGCCATGTTGGTCTGACACAGTCGAAATATATATAAAAATTAAATAATTGTCCAGTAGCACCTTAGAGACCAACTAAGTTTGTTATAAATAGCATAATAAATGTGGATAGTTTTCTGTTTCAGTGACATTATAGTCCAAAGGTTATTCATGTGTGCTAAAACTCAGTCTTAAGTTTTTTCTTTTTTAAAAAAAAAACATTTAACCACATCAGTTAACCAAAATGGATACATTTGCTATTATGTTATTGTTTTAGTGAAATGAATTGTTTAAATTGTTATGAAGGAAATGATTATTTCCCCCCTTCTAATCAAGTACAGCAGAAAAGTTGTCCAAATAGAAAATTAACTTATTAAAATTCACCATCATTTCATCATTATCTGTCTATGTATTTCTAAGAGTAGAACCAAATCAGTCATTTTTTATATAACTGTAAAAACCACTCTGAAAATTTATTCTTCCAAAAAAGAAACCTTCCTCTGGTTGTCTATATGAAGATGATACCAGCAATAATGAGTCTTTATGTAAAAAAAAAAAAGGGGGGGGAGAAAAAAGATTTAAATCAAGTCATACTGACGTGATTGAAATCAAGACTTACGGACGAGTGATTTAAATCGTGATTTAAACATGATTTAAATTGATTTGATTTAAATCAGATCCACCCTGGTTTAGTCTTCTGTCTGTTTGTCTGCCTGAAGCTTAAGTAGCAATTTGAGAACCAAATGAGTCATTTTTGATAGATTTGTAAAAATTTATTCTTCCCAAATGGAAACCTTCCTCTGGTTGTCAATGTGAAGAGGATGCAAGCATCCTTTCTGTAAAAAAGGAAAAAAAGATTTAAATCTTTTTCTCCTCCTCTTCCTCCTCCTTTTTCTCCTTCTCTTTCTTTTTCTCCTCCTCCTCCTTCTTTTTCTGCTTCTCCTTTTTCTTTTTCTCCTCCTTTTTCTTTTTCTCCTCCTCCTTTTTCTCTTTCTCCTCCTCTTCCTCTACCTTTCCTCCTCCTCTTCCATCTTCTTCCTTTTTCTCCTCCTTTTTCTTTTTCTCCTTTTCCTCCTCCTCCTTTCTTTCACGATCCCTGGCAGCTGAGTAAGATTGTCTTCCATAAACATGGTTTTAACAGTAAGTTTGTAAGTGGCTGTAGGGACCAATTCTGGATCCACACGTCCTTCCACAGCGGGGACACCGGGTGGGAGTAGATCCCGGTGAGGCTTCCTTCCTCTTTGCCCGTTTCTCCCTTGTGTCTTGAGTTTGAGTGTCTTCAAAGCCCAGGACACCTTTGGTCAAGGCTGTTCTCAACTGGAGTGCTCGCAAACCAGTGCTTCCCAGTTGTCGGTGTTTATGCTACATTTTTAAAAAAATTGCCTAGAGAACTTTAAACCTCTTTTGTGGACCACCAGCATGATGCTTTCCATTCTTAAATTCGGAATAGAGTAGTTGCTTTGGAAGATGAGAATCAGGCATCTGAACAACATGAACAGTCCAAAGTTGATGTTGAAGAATCATTGCTTCCACACTGGTGATCTTTGCTTCTTTCAGTACACTGGCATTAGTTCGCCTGTCTTCCCAAGTGATGTTTAAAAATTCCCGGAGACACTTTTGATCAGGGGTGCCCACCAAACTTTTTGGATGAACATGTGTGAGGACTGACCAAAGTTGTTGAACTTTTTTGGGGGGGATTGAAGTTGTTGAACTTTTTTTTAGGATTTAACCCCAAAGGTTGTTGAGCTTTTTTAAGGACTGAAGTTCCTGAGCTTTTTTTAGGATTTTACCACAGGGCATAAACTGCCACAGTAGCCGGATTAAATCAACCGGCGGGCCGGATTGGGCCCCCGAAACCTTGGACATGCCTGCCTCTGATGGAATCTTTGGAGGAGTTGGAGAGGGCGTTGATAAGTGGTCCATGTTTCACAAGCGGAAAGTAAGGTTGGTAGTACAATAGCTTGAAAACGAGCATCTTGGCTTCCCTGTGAATGTATTGACCCTAAATTACTGGCACAATGGGGGTCCGATCTCATGGGAGGCAGCCGTTTCCCACAGCAGGAAACAGGACATATACATGCACACACACATATACACATACGTGTGTGTGTGTGAGAGAGAGAGAATTGGTTTTTGCACATGGTTTCCAAACATAACATCCCATCTGATACAATATAACAAACCTTTGGCTATCACAGCCTAGACAAAAAGCAGGACTTAATACAGGGCACGCTTTTCAGCGGATAAGGCGGTTGCGCCGACAACTGTTTCCATTCATTCGGACCCCTTCTTTTTCCAGATGCAAGTAGCAAAACCACTCTGGCAACCACCACGGCCGAAGAGGCGGCGAGGATCTTGGCCGAGAAGCGCCGTCTTGCAAGGGAGCAGAGGGAGCGCAAAGACCAGGAGAGAGCTCAAAGAGAAGAGGAAGAAAGGTACTGTATATATAAAAATAATTTTTATTGGTTTTTCCAAATATTTTCCATCCAAACATCAGTCTTGTATACAAAATATAAAGCCATTTGGCTGTTTCAGCCTAGGACTTCCCTCCTCCTCGACTAATGGTTTTCCAAATTAATCTCTAATTTAAATTTTTTTATAATAGTAATTTTTATTGGTATTTCAAATTTTTCCATCATAACAGCTTTCCTATAAATTACATATACAAACATTTGGCTGATAATCCTGGAACTTCCCTCCTCCTCAACTAATGGTTTTCCAACTCAATCTCCGGTATGCATTTTGTTCTTATTAATATTACTATTAAATCATAATCTTAAAAAACAGTTTGTGAATTGCATTAAGTAATAAATGATAATCTAACCTACAAAGCTTCTTGTAACCCTACTAGCGATGTCAGTTGTTTACAGTTGTCTTTTAAATACAACTTAGATTTATTCCAGTGTTTCCATCTTAGCATTGTTTGCCATCTCCCTGGTTGGTGTCATCTCGGTCTCCCTGATGGTTTTGGTTTGAGGTTGGCTTGGCATCCTCTTGGGGTTGGGCGTGTGATGGTTAGGAGTTGTGGCAGTGGTGATTCCTGGGTATTGTTGGGTTGCTGAGCTGATCAGGCTTTGTTGGCTGGTGGCTTTTACAGAGCGTTTGGGTTAGGTGGTCATTTGTGTCACTTCTAGCCTGTGTTTTAAGAACTTCTCTAGGGCTTCTGTAGATGCCTCAGCGGTGCCGCCGAGGCGGGGGGGGGGCAGGTAAGCAGAGATGGGTAGACTAATGGACAGACAGTTCATATAAAGGGAAGGGGGTTAGCAGGTAGAGATGCAAGAGATTAGAGGGTATATGTTTAATTTTCCTCCATTTTTAATTACTTTCCCACAAACAAAAAATAACAACAATAACCAGGGGGAAATATTATTCTTAAGAAAAACAAATCAAACAAAACCATGCAATTATTTTTTATTTTCCAAATGGGTATATGGAGGAAATTTTTGTTTTAAAAGAGAGTGGTGGTCGTAGCTGGGGGCGAAAGATTCGCCCCTCAGGAGCAAGCCAACAAGAGCTTTAAAAAGAGAAAGAAAAGAAGAATAATTGTATGGCTCTGCTCTGTCTTTTAAAAAATAATAATAATATGTCCCCCCAACCACCGCCACCACTCTCCGTCTGCAGAAAAGCAACCAAAAATGTACGGGTAAAAGATAAAAATGAGAATTAAAGGTAAAAAAAAAAAGGGGGGGTTGTCTTTAGATAGAGCTTTTTATTTTTTTTAAAAAAATGAGTAAAGTATAGGTAAAAGAGGGTAGGTAAAAGAGAGTGGAAAGTCTGGGGCGAAGTGGCAGTCCCAGGAAATGGCCTGTGATGGTTCAGGGCTGTTTTCTGGGTACTGCCATTTTAAATCTTAAGAGGGGAGTTTGAGGTGGAAATAAAATGAGGTTTAAATTGAGGATGTGTGTGTGGAAAAGTGTGTCTTTAAATAGTGAGTAGAAAAGATAGAAATAAAAGTAAAGATTCAAATAAAGGGTGGCTGCAGCAGCAGTGGCCCCTCTTTTAAAAAGAAAAGTGGTAAAAGTAGGTATATGGGGGGGGAGGGATAAGAAAGATGTATATATATTTTTTCTTTAAAGGGAGGGAGGGAGGGGGAGGAAGGGGTTAAAAAAGGGGGAGTTAAAAAAAAAGGGGGGGAAGGTTGTTTTTTCTTTTCTGTGGTCTCCTTTGTTATGCAGCTTCTCTGTGTTTTCCTTGCCGCTGGAGCTCCCGGTAGGGCTCAGCCACGTGTGTTTTTTTCCCCCTTCCTTCCCCGAAGCCTATTTTGCCTTCACCGTGCTCACCTACCTCTCCTCTGCTTTCCCGTCGGCAGAGATGGGGGCAGCAACGGTAAATTTGGGGCTTCTTTTTCTTTCTTTCTTTTCCTTCCTCTCTCCCCCTTTCTTTCTCCCTCTTTGCGTTAGCTCCACTGTCCTCCTGGTTTTGGAGCTCCTCTCGGCTGTTGGGGGGGGGTCGGGTGCCTTTCCGGCTCAATCAAGGTCGTGGGGGGGTGTTTTGGCTCCTTTGATAGATGCCCGGGCACCCCCAATTCCTCTCCGTTGGCGTGGCTGGCAGCAGCAGTCCTGGGGGGTCCGGGAATCGGTCACCAGAGCCTTTTACTCTGGCTGGCTTCAGGAGCTCTTTTCTTCTGCTGCTGCCGCCATGCTGCCTCGCCGGAAGTCCTTTATTCCAGTGTTTCAAGAAATTCTGGTTCCAAATTTTCCCAGTTTCGCCAATTTGGCATAATCCATTACTTTCATTTGCCACTCTTCTTTCTTCTTCTTTCTTTCTTTCTTCTTTCTTTCTTCTTTCTTTCATTTGCCACTCTTCTTTGTTGGGATCTCTTCTTGCTTCCATCATTGGGCTAGTAATATTCTCGCTACGGTTGTAGCATCTAAAAACAATGTTTTATCTTGTCTGGGTATGAAAGGTACTGTATTTTTCCGTGTATAAGACTATATTTCCCCCCAGGTTTAAAATGGGGGGTCGTCTTATACACAGAATGTTACCTTTCTTTCTTTCTTTCTTTCTTTCTTTCTTTCTTTCTTTCTTTTTCTTTCTTTCTTCATTTTGAGCTCCAAAAAGAGCCCCAAGTCTTATACATTGGGGCGTCTTATACATGGAAAAATGCGGTAAATCAATAAGGGGCAGCCATTCACACCCTCCTTCATATTAATGATTCTGCTTTCATATTGCCATTCCGTTGCTGTTAAGTTGTGAATGGCGTGTCTGAAAATGTCAATGCCTTTGGTCACCTGTGCTTTAGGTGACTAAAGTGAGATGCCGTGGTAAGTCAGAATGACACCCAGTGCCGGATTTACGTATAAGCTCAGCAAGCTCCAGCTTAGGGCCCCCCTCTCTTGGGGGCCCCCAAAAAAATTAAAGGGGAAAAACCTGGATGTACCTTTGCAAAATATAAGATAAAAAACAAATAAAACCAACATACAGCTACCGTGTTTTGTTTTGTGTTGTGTCGGCTCCTATTTGTGATGTGCAAATGGCTTTAGAGATCTATTAGGCCTCTAAATTACCATATAGCAGGGGTCAGCAAACTTTTTCAGCAGGGGGGCGGTCCACTGTCCCTCAGACCTTGTGGGGGGGCAGACTATATTTTGGTGGAAAGGGGGAAAAAAATCCTATGCCCCACAAATAGCCCAGAGATGCATTTTAAATAAAAGCACACATTCTACTCATGTAAAAACATGCTGATTCGCAGACCGTCCATGGGCCAGATTTAGAAGGCGATTGGGCCAGATCCAGTCCCCAGGCCTTAGTTTGCCTACCCATGCCATATAGCATATATTCAACACAAAAGCAGTGACAATTGGTTGTTGTCTAGAATGTAACTTAAAGGGAAAATCTTTGGAAAGATTTTTTTCCTCCAAAAGCATTGTATTTTAAAAATCCGATTTACATTTTTAAAAAAATTGATTCAAATTTTTAAAAGTCTGATTTAAATTTTAAAAATCTGATTTTTTTAGTATTCTTTTTTTAAAAAAGCATTGATTTTTATTGTGCAAAAGCAAGGATCTGACCTGTTGTTGATTTATTTGGAACAGGATCAGAAAGGAAGAAGTCGCCAAGCAAGCCCTTGAGAAGCAGGCCCAGCTGGAAGAGGCCCTCCAGGAACTGGAAGACGAGAGGAGGGCAGGGGAAGAGGAGCCGCAAAGGCAGGCCGAGCAGGAGGAGCAGGAGAAGATAGCCGAGCTCCAGCTTCAGGTTTGGACTCGAGGCAGAGTGGAAAGAGGCTAGATACTGGAAAATATTTTATGTTCTGGGATGCTCAGCAGTCTGCAAAAAGCACCCTTTGGGGGATTGAGGGCAGCAGTCCCAGGATCCAATGGATCTTAATTTTCATTTCAGGTTTCTTAAGTGCATGCCAAGCTCCATTTTTAAATCTACACCAGTCAAGTGTTTTGGGACCTCTTACTGCAATAATCCCCATTGGTGGGCGAAAACTTCCATGTCTTTGGTTGTTTTGGTGATTCCTGCCCCTACTTGATGATGATGATGATGATTTATTATTTCTACCCCGCCCATCTGGCTGGGTTTCCCCAGCCAGTCTGTGCAGCTTCTGACAGGAGATTTATGATTATGATTATGATTTTATTTGTATCCCTCCCCTGCCAGAGTTGGGCTTAGAGTGGCTAACATCATATTAATAACACAATATACATAAAAACAAGCAATCAATGGATTAAAATTCAAATAAATTAAAATTAAACTAAAGAAATGGCAATCCTCAGGTTAATACATCAGTCATAAAAAACTTCCCTAAACAGGGCTGCAAAGTAAGTGTTGAGTGGTTCCACCATCTCTTGGTCACCCAATAGCTTCTCTCTACTACTCAATGATTCCATAAACTCTGCTTAATCTAGTTGTGCTGAGTCTTCTTTTGACATTAGAGTTTCAATTTCAGAAAATGTTTAACAGATAAAGTATAAGCAATATATTAAATTTTAAAAAACTGGGTAAAGATGTAGTCTTATATATGGAAAAATACAGTATTCTGGCCACCTCCCTCTTGCAGTCTTTTGAGACTTCAGCTGTCAGCTTTAATAATAATAATAATAATAATAATAATAATAATAATAATAATAATAATTATTATTTTATGTCTACCCCGCCCATCTAGCTGTGTTTCTCGAGCTACTTTGGGTGGCCTCCGACAGGAGATTAAAAATACATTAAAACATCAGTCGTTAAAAACTTCCCTAAACAGGGCTGCCTTCAGATGTCTTCTAAAAGTCAGGTGGTTTTTTATTTCATTTACATCTGACGGGAGGGCATTCCACAGGGCGGGTGTCACCACCAGGAAGGCCCTCTGTCTGGTTCTCTGTCACTTGGCTTCTCGCGGGGGGGGGGGGGGGACTGCCAGAAGGCCCTCGGGATAGGGATCCTGGCGTCCGGGGTGGAGATGCTGCATCAGGTCTACTGGGGCAAGGCTGTTGAGAGCTTTCAAGGTAAGCACTGAGACTTTGAATTGTGCCCGGAAATGTCCTGGGAGCCAACGCAGGTCTTTCAGGACCGGTGTTGTGTGATCTCAGTCAGACTTGATTTAAATCCTTTATTTTACAGAAAGGTTCAGCTTTGCTGGCTTCCTCTTAATATTGACAACCAGAGGAAAGTTTCCTCTACTGGGCTGTTTAGAGCTTTCAAGGTCTGCACCAACCCTTTGAATTAATAATAAATTTTATTTTTATCCCGCCCTCCCCAGCCAAAGCCAGGCTCAGGGCGGCTAACAACAATAAAATAGTGCAACATTCTAAAAACATTTCATTATAAAAATTAATTAAAATCTAATTTATGGCAACCATAAGCTTAAGTTCTGTAAAGATTGCCAAAGGAGGGAGTCAGGCTGCGCCCTGACCAAAGGCCTGGTGGAACAGCTCTGTCTTGCAGGCCCTGCGGAAAGATGTCAAATCCCACAGGGCCCTAGTCTTTTGTGACAGAGCATTCCACCAGATTGGAGCCACAGCTGAAAAAGCCCTGGCTCTAGTTGAGGCCAGCCTAACCTCTCTGTGGCCTGGGACCTTCAGGATGTTTTTATTTGAAGACCGTAAGTTCCTCTGTGGGACATACCAGGGGAGGCGGTCCTGTAGGTACGAGGGTCCTAAGCCGTATAGGGCTTTAAAGGTTAAAACCATCACCTTAAACCTGATCCTGTACTCCACCGGGAGCCAGTGTGTCTGGTATAGCACCGGGTGAATGTGATCTCGCAGCAAAGACCCCGTAAGGAGTCTCGCTGCGGCATTCTGCACCCGCTGGAGTTTCTGGGTCAGTCTCAAGGGCAGCCCCACGTAGAGCGAGTTACAATAATCCAGTCTGGAGGTGACCGTCACATGGATCACAGTGGCTAGGTCAGGGCGAGAGAGGTAAGGAGCCAACTGCTTAGCTTGGCGGAGATGAAAAAATGCCACCTTTGTTATAGCTGTAATCTGCGCCTCCATGGAGAGGGAGGTATCGAAGATTACACCCAAACTCTTAACGGACGGTGCTGGCACTAATTGCAGCCCCGCAAGAGATGGGAGTTGCCCCCTCAATCCCATATCGCTCCGTCCCAGCCACAGGACCTCTGTCTTCGAAGGATTTAACTTCAACCGGCTCCCACATAACCATCCAGCCACAGCTTCCAAACATCTGATCAGTGTGTCTGGGGCCAAGTCAGGATGGCCATCTATGGAGAGATAAAGCTGGGTGTCATCAGCATATTGATGACAACTCACTCCAAAACTCCGGACAATCTGGGCAAGGGGGCGCATAAAGATGTTTCATCCAGAAACCCACCAAGCTGTTCAGCAACCGCTCTCTCAATCACCTTACCCAGGAATTCGAAACTGGGCGGTAATTGGATAGATCTAAGGGATCTAATGATGTTTTCTTTAAGAGCGGGCGCACCACTGCCTCCTTCAGTTCCCCTGGGAATGTCCCGGTGCCAAGGGACAAATTGATGATATCCCCCAGGGGGGCCCGCACCTCGTCTGCACACGCTCTAATCAGCCAAGACAGGCACGGGTCGAGAGGACAGGTGGTGGGCTTTCTAGCTCGGAGGAGTCTGTCCACATCGGCTGGGGATATCCGGTCAAAGTGGTCCAATACTGGACCCAAGGACAGTCGAGGGGCCTCCAGTTCCTTTATTGTATCCAAATTGGCAGGGAGGTCATGGCGGAGCAACAGGACCTTCTCCGCAAAAAAGCTCGCAAATGCCTCACAGCTGTGCGTCAAATTGTTATTTAAATTTGGCTGTCCCTCTAGGGACTTTAAAGACCTAATTATACTAAATAATTGCGCCGGGCGAGAGCTAGCGGATGCAATGGAGGCCGAGAAGTAAGACTTCTTAGCGGCCTTCACTGCCATCTTGTAGGTTTTCATAAAAACCCTTGAGGCTCTCTGTTCTTGAGGCTCCGTCATGAGCACCCTGCCATACTCGCTCTAGCCCGGAAACGTCCTGGGATGCAGGTCTCTCAGGACCGGTGTTATGTGGTCTTGGCAGCCACTCCCAGTCCACAGTCTGGCTGCTGCAATCTGGATTAGTTGGGAGTTTCCGGGTCGCCTTCAAAGGTGGGGAGTACACTTCCTTTGAGGCGTGACTGGTATGGCCCTGTATTGGGATTCTGGCTGGGTTTGACCCAACTTTATGTTATAATAATAATAATAATAATAATAATAATAATAATAATAATAATAATAATAATAGCAGCAGCAGCAGCAGCAGCAGCATCATGGTCTTGACCCAATCTATTTATCAGCCTAATCTGTTTCCTTGGGGAAGTGGGAATAACCCTAATCCACGTATACTATCCTGATATCACTGGAGCGGTCTTGGTGGTGGGCTTGTATACATATACCAGGCTTCCTCAACCTCCGCCCTCCAGATGTTTTAAGACTACAACTCCCAACATCCCTGACCATTGGTCGTGCTAGCTAGGGATCATGGGAGTTGTCGGCCAAAAACATCTGGAGGGCTGAGGTTGCAGAATCCTGAAGTAAGGTAAAAGGGATGAATCCGTTCCAGACTTTTAAAAACAACCCCGAAAACAGCCATCAAACTTGAATTTTCTCTCTGACAAGACCATGGATCTGTGAAACGAAAGCAATCAACAATGTACTACAGTCACACAATCTATCCATCAGTAACTGAACTGGGTTCCGCACAATCACACAAAAAAGAGAGCCGCAAAAACGCAAAATAAATCACAAAAACAGACAGACCTCAGCAAAACACTCAAATCAGAAAGATTGCACTCAAAATGGAACACTTTTGGCTTCCAAAAAAACATTCCCCAACCAGAAAACTTCCTTCCGGGTTTTCAGTGTTTGCGTTCTGAGTTGTTTGAGTCCCAAGGCGTTTGAAGACCAAGGTACCGCTATGCAACGTGGGAATAATAACAATTGTACAGGGGAACCCCAGAGTTTTCAGAGGTACACACGCACACAAATTATACCAAACAGTATAATATGTTTTGGGACACGGGTGGCACTGTGGGTTAAACCACAGAGCCTAGGACTTGCCGATCAGAAGGTCGGCAGTTTGAATCCCCACGATGGGGTGAGCTCCCGTTGCTGGGTCCCAGCTCCTGCCAACCTAGCAGTTCGAAAGCACGTCAAAGTGCAAGTAGATAAATAGGTACCGCTCCGGCGGGAAGGTAAACGGCGTTTCCGTGCGCTCCTCTGGTTCGCCAGAAGCAGCTTAGTTATGCCGGCCACATGACCCAGAAGCTGTACGCCGGCTCCCTCAGCCAGTAAAGCGAGATGAGCGCCCCAACCCCAGAGTCGGCCACGACTGGACCTAATGGTCAGGGGCCCCTTTACCTTTTATAATATATTTTATATTTTGATTTTGTTCTGCAAACCGCCCTGAGACCTCCAGTTATAGGGCAGTATATAAATTCAATAAATGATAATAAATAATGCCCCAAAGCCCCACTAAAGAGCCCAGAGGACTTTTCCAGTTGATTCTCAACGTAACCTGGTGACTGAATAGGCCAGGCATCGCCAAACTTGGCCCTCCAGATGTTTTGAGACTACAGCTCCCACCATCCCTAGCTAACAGGACCAGTGGTCAGGGATGATGGGAATTGTAGTCCCAAAACAGCTGGAGGGCTGAGTTTGCCTATGCCTCCTCTAATACTGGGGGAGCGGGTTTGAACCCCTGCAGCCCATGGGATATCTGCTTGCCAAGACCTACAATATCTGTCATGGGGTGTGGGTGGAGAACGCCACATCTGCTACATGATGCAGGATCAATAATGATGATGATGATAATTAATTTACTGTTTCTACCCTGCCCATCTGGCTGAGCCTCAGCCCCAAAAAGATTAGCCTCCCCCCTGGCTCTTAGCTGCTTAATAGCAGTTATGGGGTGCCTGTGGCGGCACTCTAGATTTTGTAGGGCTCCAGCTCCCTTCAGCCCCAGACGGTGTGGCCATTGGCTGGGAATGGCAAGTTGGCATTTTAGCAACTACGGAAGGGCCACAGTCCCCCACCTCCCTTGCCATTATTATTCCTATTGTCTTCTTCTTTTGCAATCCCTCATAGCCGAATCAGATTGTCTTCCATCAACATGGATTTTAGCAGTGAGCCCGTAAGTGAGGGTGGAGGCCAATTCTGGATCCACACGTCCTTCCACAGTGGGGTTTCTGGGCGGGGGTTGATCCTGGTGAAGGTTCCTTCGTCCTCGCCCGTTTCTCCCTCGTGTCCCGAATTTGAGTGTCTTCAAAGCCCAGGACGCCTTTGGTCGAGGCTGTTCTCCAACTGGAGCGCTCACAGGCCAGTGTTTCCCTGTTGTCAGTGTTTATACTACATTTTTAAAGATTTGCCTTGAGATCTTTCAACCTCTTTTGTGGACCACCAGCGTTACACTTTCCAGTGTAAGGCGATACACAACATGACCGGTCCAAAGTTGATGTTGAAGGATCATCGCTTCGACACTGGCAATCTTTGCTTCTTGCAGTACACTGGTATTAGTTTACCTGTCTTCCTGAGCGACATGTCAGATTTTCCGGAGACTCCATTGACGGAATCTCTTGCACACGCTGGACGCCTTGCAGTTTGGAGAGCTGTTCCCGGTTTCCATTCGGGTGGGGTTTTGGGAACGAAAGGGTTTTCCGGCGGTGATTCCTCTTCCCCCCAATTTTAGCGTGAAGAGGCCGAGGCAAAAGCTCTGGAGGAAGCCGAGAAGCAGCGTCAGGAACGGGAGCAGATTGTGCAGCGGAACAAGCAAGAGCGGCTAGAGAGGAAAAAGGTGAGATGCCTGCCTTTTCTGCTCTCAGTCCTCTGTTTCAAAAGAATGAATGAATTTATTTCCGTTGGCCATTGCAATAAAAGAGCATTGCAGTGTGCATATACCAGGCATGTCCAACATGTAGATCACAACCTACTGGTAGATCGTGGGGTGTTCCTGGTCAATATCTAGTCTCTCAGGGATCTCCTCCCACCACCTCAAAAAAGAAAAAGTAAAAAAAAGAAGAATGAAATAGCTCAACAACTACTGTTTCTACTGTTCCCTAAAGAAAGCTCAACCACTCTAGCTTCCTAAGAAAAGCTGAGCAACTTTGCCTTTCCAAAAAAAGCTCAGCAACTTTTGTTTTCTAGCCAAAAAGTTGACCATCAGATTAAGGTCCACTATTTGACTGCAGATTCATGAACCCTCAACTGTGTTCATTTCATTCATTCATATCTTCAGTTCCATTCATTCATATCTTCAGTTCCATTCATTCATTTGCTTCCTTAGAAAAAGCTCAGAAACTTTACCTTTCCAAAAAAAGCTCTACAACTTTTGACTCCTAGCCAAAAAGTTGACCATCAGATTAAGGTCCACTATTTGACTGCAGATTCGGGACCCTTAACTGTGTTTTATATAATCGACTTTTTACTATGTTCTGTGTATATCACAGTGCTCATTCAGTTCCATTCATTCATATATTCAGTTTCATTCATTCATTTGCCCCTAAAAAAAAGCCGAACCACTTTGGTTTCCCAGAAAAAGCTCCACAACTTTGATCTGTCCAACAACAACAGGTAGATCACTGCCCGATTTTTTACACTGTGAATAGATCGCAGCCTCTTGGGAGTTGGACATCCCTGCCATATCCTTCAAAAGAGACATATAATGTTTCATGAAAAAGCAGCTGGATAAGCCCTTGGGTGGACGCAGACCATAGCAATGGATACAAGTCGAAGGCCGGGACTTCCCTTGTACGCTGGCGGGGGTTTGTGGGTGGGGCATTGTGTATGCTCTATAGCAGGGGTCAGCAAACTTTTTGAGCAGGGGGCCAGTCCACTGTCCCTCGGACCTTGTGGGGGGCCGGACTATATTTTGGAAAGAAAAAAAAGAATGTAATCCTATGCCCCACAAATAATCCTGAGATGCATTTTAAATAAAAGGACACATTCTACTTGTGTCAAAACACGCTGATTCTCGGACCGTCCGCAGGCCGGATTGTGTAGGCCAGTGTTTCCCAACCTTGTGCCTCCAGCTGTTTTTGGACTACAATTCCCATCATCCCTTGCCACTGGTCTTGCTAGTCAGGGATGATGGGAGTTGTAGTTCAAAAACAGCTGGAGGCACAAGGTTGGGAAACACTGGTGTAGGCGATGGGGCCGGAGCCGGCCCCAGGGCCTTAGTTTGCCTACTCTATGGCCTAACAGTGATATTTGGCATTTGGGGTCCCTTTCATTTAATTGTCTCATGCAGTGGTGGCCCGACTTGACCCCCTCCAGCTGTTTTGGGACTACAACTCCCATCATCCCTTGCTAACAGGATCAACGGTCAGGGATGGTGGGAGTTGTAGTCCCCAAAATCAGCCCTGGGCTGCTTTTACAATGGAACTCAACAAAGTATGCTTGGCTTCCTCCCCAGCCCCATTTATTTCTTTGAACCTCTCTGAGGGATTTTAGGAGAGATGCCACAACAGGCCCATGATGCACCAATGTGTCTTTTATAGCTAAGAGAGGATTTTGAGCCAGGTCTCTCTCTAACCTAATGGTGGCCAAACGTGGCCCTCTAGCTGTTTGGGGACTACAATGCCTACTATCCCTGACCACTGCTCCTGTTAGCTAGGGATGATGGGAGTTGTAGTCCCCAAACAGCTGAAGGGCCAAGTTTGACCACCACTGCAGTCAAAGTCTAACCATTACTCCCTGCTGGCATTCAAGGGTCTCCAAGCAGGGAAAGGAAAGGCCAGATGGGTGGGGTCAAAATAATACATTATTATTATTATTATTACTACTACTACTACTACTACTACTTCTACTACTACTATTAACTGAGTCTTGGCGTTATCTAAGTGGTGTGACTGTTCTTTGACAGAGAATAGAAGAAATAATGAGGAGGACCCGGAAGGCAGAGCAGAACGACGCCAAGGTAAATGTCTTCCAACGTTGGCTAAGGCCTCTGGTTACCTCTGATTTCTGTTGCTAGTGTTCAAGGGGAATGTTGTTGGCGCCTGTCTTAAAAATTGTGGTTTTCTCTGAGCTCCCACAGCTGATCTGATGCTGATGTGCTGTGGCAGCTTTCATTTCATTTCATTAGAATTTTTACTGGTTTTTACACATATTTTCATACATAACATCACAGTATGCAAAAAGAAATGAAACATTTGGCTCCATTTGGCTCCGTTTTTGGACAAATACTTGCCTTGTATTGCAGGCATAGGCAAATTCCACCACTCCAGATGTCAAAAGCACATCAGAGTGCAAGGAGATAAATAGGTCCCGCTCCGGCAGGAAGGTAAACGGCGTTTCCATTAGCTGCTCTGGGTTCACCAGAAGCAGCTTAGTCATGCTGGCCACATAACCTGGAAAAACTGTCTGCAGACAAACTTTGGCTCCCTTGGCCAGCAAGGTGAGATGAGCGCTGCAACCCCAGAGTCGTCCACAGCTGGACTTAACGGTCAGGGGTCCCTTTACCTTTCTTATTACTATTAAATCGTTGTATTATATATAAACTAAAATAATGAAGATAAGTAACGAGCAGTAATTTTAACAGGACAAAACTTCCTGCAACCCTACTAGCGATGTACGTTTTTTACAATTGTCTTTCAGATATAACATATATTTGTCCCCGCCTTTCAGAAAAGTCCGATCCTACTGGTTCTGGATTTTCCCCATCAGTTTGGCCAATTAGGCATAGTCCAATAATTTCATCCGCCAATCTTCTTTCGTTGGCAGCTTTTAAGGCAGAATACTCTTCCTAGAGGCAAATACGGATTGCCTGAGCCATGAATGAAAATGATTGCATATTAGGGAAACGTATTTGGCAACCTCTCTCTTGCAGTCTTTTGAGACTACAACTGACAGCTTTCATCATAATCATCATCATATTTATTTCTACCCTGCCCATCTTGCTGATTTTCACCAGACACTCTAAGCAGCTTCCAGTAACAACAACAACAACAACAACAATTTATTATTTGTACCCTGCCCATCTGGCTCAGTTTCCCCAGCCCACTCTGGGCGGCTTCTAGTAAAAGATTAAAAAGGTAAAGGTAAAGGTACCCCTGCCCGTACGGGCCAGTCTTGACAGACTCTAGGGTTGTGCGCCCATCTCACTCATAAGGCCGGGGGCCAGCGCTGTCCGGAGACACTTCCGGGTCACGTGGCCAGCGTGACATCGCTGCTCTGGCGAGCCAGAGCCGCACACGAAACGCCGTTTACCTTCCCGCTTGTAAGCGGTCCCTATTTATCTACTTGCACCCGGGGTGCTTTCGAACTGCTAGGTTGGCAGGCGCTGGGACCGAGCAACGGGAGCGCACCCCGCCGCGGGGATTCGAACCACCGACCTTTCGATCGGCAAGCCCTAGGCACTGAGGCTTTTACCCACAGTGCCACCCGCGTAAAAGATTAGAAATACATTAAAACATCTGTCATTCAAAACTTCCCTAAACAGGGCTGCCTTCAGATGTCTTCTAAAAGTCCAATAGTTGTTTATTTCCTTGACATCTGACGGGAGGGCATTCCACAGGGCAGGCGCCACCCCTGAGAAGGCCCTCTGCCTGCTTTCCTGTAACTTGGCTTCTCGCAGGGAGGGAACCGCCAGAAGGTCCTCGGGAGAGGGACCTTGGTGTCTACTGGGCCAAGGCCATTTAGGGCCTTCAAGGTCAGCACTGACACTTTGAATTGTGCCCGGAAACGTCCTGGGAGCCAATGTAGGTCTTTCAGGACCAGTGCTATATAGCCTCGATCAGACTTGATTTAAATCCTTTATTTTACAGAAAGGTTTGACTTTACAGGCATCCTTTCAATATTGACAACCAGAGGAAGGTTTCCTATGGCTTGTAATGTCCTTCAGATGCCAGCTGGGCACAGGGCCATCTTATAACCAGCAGCTCATCTTGCAACTGACTCTTTCTGCTTCCTCTAACACAGAACGACGACAAGTCCAATGAGGAGGATGAAGGCGTTGAAGAAGATGAGGAGCTGGGCCTCGAAAAGCAAGATCAGCCTGGTAAGGGGCAGCCCTGCGACTGTTTATCTTCCTTGCCAGGTGGATTTGATTTAAATTAAATCGATTTAAATCCCGTTTTAAATCCCTAGTCAGGAAGACTTTATTTAAATCAATTTTTTACAGAAAGGTTCAACCCTGCTGGCATCCTCTTAATCTTGAGAAGCAGAGGAAGGTTTCCTTTTTGGAATGATAAATTTCCAGAGTAGTTTCTACTGTTATATCAAAAGTGACTGATTTGGTTCTACTCTTAGAAAGACATAGACAGATAATGATGAAATGATGGTGAGGTTTAATAAGTTAACGGTTTCTATTTGGACAACTTTTCCACTGTACTTGATTGGAAGGAGACAATCAATCATTTCCTTCATCGCAATTTAAACAATTTATTTAACTAAAGCAGTAACATGTATACATCTGCTATCATGATGGGGTTAAACTTTTTTTTTTTTAACGACTTAGACTGAGTTTTAGCAGACATGAAAAACTTAAAACAAATCCTTCTTTCCAGATGAATAGCCTTTGGACTCTAATGTAATTTAAAGAGGAAATCTGTAGAAAGGTTTTTCCTCCCAAAGCATTTTGTTTTAAAAATCCAATTTAAATTTTAAAAAATCAATAATAATTTTTAAAAATCCAATTTAAATCAGGAAAATCCGATTTTATTTATTTATTTATTTATTAAATCATTGATTTTTATCTACCCTGATTTCTTAGCTAGCTTGGAGGTATTCCCTGATTTTCTCGGAAGGGGCTTCTGACGCAGAGGGCTTTCGTTCCCTCTTGTGGAAAGAGTAGCATGGGGTTAGTTAAGCCTGCCATTTGCCTGCCTGCCTTACATCTTTAGTCACAGTTTGAAAATAGTTTCCTTTTACCACCATCCGCACTCCAAATTTCAGGTGGTGACTCTTAATTATTAATGGTGGCACCCGCCCTGTGGAACGCCCTCCCATCAGATGTCAAAGAGATAAGCAACTATCTGACGTAAGACATCTGAAGGCAGCCCTCTTTAGGGAGGTTTTGAATGACTGGTGTTTTAATGTATTTCTAATCTTTTGCTGGAAGCTGCCCAGAGTGGCTGGGGAAACCCAGCCAGATGGACAGGGTATTAATAATAATATTTATTTTTGTTGTTGTTGTTTCAGAAAAGGCAAAATATGACTCCTCCCTCGAAGACGGTCCAGAGGCTGTGTGCGATTTGGCCGCGTCGGAAGACGGATCAAAAATGGAACCGGACAGTGTCTTTGTAAATGGGGATGATGAGGAGGAGGTTGACCAGAGGAACGACGATGGTGGTGGGAATTCGATGTATTTGACTCAGGTGAAAGAAGCTAGGTAAGCTTGGTGCAGGTGTTGCCCACTCCTGCCCCTCCCCCAAACAGCCCCGTACAGTGGTCCCTTGGTTCCCAAACTTAATCTGTTCCAGAAGTCCGCTCCAAAACCAAAGTATTCCAAAACTGAGGATGCCAGCGAGGCTGACCCTTTCTGTAAAACAGGTACCATGGTTCTCAAACTTAACCCGTTCCAGAAATCCGTTCCAAAGCATTCCAAAACCAAGGCACTTATTTCCCATAGAATATCATGCAAAAGGGATTAATACGTTCCAGACTTTTAAAAGCAGCAATTTAACATGAATTTTACACTCTAACGAGACCATCAAGACATAAAACAAAAGCAATCATCAATGTGCTGTACCATTAAAGAAATAAGATATTGTAGATGATAAAAATAGAAATTAATTTTTTATTTTCTCACCTGCACTGATGATAGTCATTGTTTGGATGGGGGGCTTTTATCCATTTCCGCAATCACACAATCAATAAAATATCCCCTTTTTTACAGAAAGCTTCAACCTTGCTGGCATCCTCTTAATATTGACAACCAGAGGAAGGTTTCATTTTTGGAATCATACATTTTCAGAGGAGTTTTTACAGTTATATCAAAAAATACTGATTTGGTTCTACTCTAAGAAATACATTGAAAGATAATGATGAAATGATGGTGAAGTTTCATAAGTGAACTGTTTCTATTTGGTCAACTTTTCTGCTGTACTTGATTAGAAGGAGACAAACAATCATTTCCTTCATCACAATTTAATAATTTATTTCACTAAAACAATAACATGATAGCATATGTATCCCTGTTTGTTAACTGATATGGTTAAACATTGTTTTTTTAAAGACTTGAGTTTTAGCACACATGAAAAACTTAAAACAAATCCTTCTTTCCAGATGAATAGCCTTTGGACTGACATAAAACTGAAATAAAAAAATCTTTAGAAAGATTTTCCCTCCAAAAGCATCTTATTTTAAAAATCCATTTTAATTTTTAATTTTTAAAATCATTGATTTTTATCCACCCTGCTCTCTTCCCAGTCCTCCAGCAAAGGAAACGGTTGTTGAGAACTCTGAAATCTCGTGCGTTAATGAAGAGGATGGCTCAACTGGATTTCTGTCTAACCTGAATGGGAAATCTACGACGTGGAATTTTGAAGAAATCATTGAACTCGGCGTCCATCCCAAGACAACCATGGCTGCAGACAAAGCCACCCAGAGCTTGAAAGATGCCGCTGTTGTACCTGCGAGTCCCAGGCTGGCTTTTGAAGAAGAAAGTCCCGTGAATTCCTTGACCAAACCGATAGAGACCGCATCAGGTATAATAATAATAATTTATTTCTACCCTGCCCATCTGGCTGGATTTCCCCAGCCACTCTGGGCTGCTTTCAACAGGAGATTTAAAAAATATTAAATATACAGTCACAGGGGTCTGCCCAGTGCACCAAACCACCTCTTCATTGAAATGTGGCAAATTCACATTTGAGTTCGGCGTTCAAGGTTCTCAAAATGTTTGAAACCTGGGGGTGGGGTGGGGAGAGCTGGAAAGAAGGTTGCTGGCTGACCTGAAGTGGAGGGAAATAAATGTAGTAGCAGTAGTAATAGATTATTCTGGCAACCTCCCTCTTGCAGTCTTTTGAGACTTCAACTGACAGCTTTAATTATTATTTATTCATTTATTCTACTCTGCCCACCTGGCTGGGTTTCGCCAGCCACTCTGGGTGGCTTCCAACAACAGATTAAAATACAATAATTCATCAAATATCAAAAGCTTCCCTAAACAGAGCTGCTTTCAGATGTCTTCTAAAAGTCTGGTAGTTGTTTATTTCCTTGATATCTGACGGGAGGGCGTTCCACAGGGCGGGCACCACCTCTGAGAAGGCCCTCTGCCTGCTTTCCTGTAACTTGGCTTCTCGCAGGGAGGGAACCGCCAGAAGGTCCTTGGGAGACGGACCCCGGCGTCCGGGGTGGGGCACTCATTGCGGTCTACTGGGCCAAGGCCACTGGGGGCTTTCAAGGTCAACACCAACACTTTGAATTGTGCCCGGAAACGTCCTGCGAGGCAATGTAGGTCTTTCAAGACCAGTGTTATATGGTCTCAGTCAGACTTTGTTTTACAGAAAGGTTCAACCTCGCTGGCATCCTCTTCATATTGACCCGCAGAGGAAGGTTTCCTTTTGGGAAGAATGAAATCCTCTTCACACACTTTGAATTGGGCACGGAAACGTCCAATGCAGGTCTTTCAAGACCAGTGTTATATGGTCTGGGCAGTCCCAGTCCCCAGTCTTGTTGCCACATTCTGGATTAATTGCAATTTCCAGGTCACCTTCCAAGGCAGCCCCATGGAGAGCGCCTTGCAGTAGTCCAAGCGGGAGATAACCAGAGCATGCGCCACTCTGGCAAGGCAGTCCGGGGGCAAGTGGGGTCTCATCTTGCGTCCCAGATGGAGCTGCCCTGGACACAAAATGGACCTGTGCCTCCATGGGTCCAAAATGACCCCCAGGCGGCACAGTTGCCCCATTCAGGACCACCTGCCCACCCATAACCGAGACTTCTGTCTTGTCCGGATTCAACCTCAACCCATTAGCCGCTATCCGTCCTCCAACCACCTCCAGGCACTGGGATCTGCCAAGTGCACCAAACCACCTCTCCATTGAAAGGTGGCAAATTCGCATTTGAGTACGGCATTCAGGGTTCTCAAAATACTTGAAACCTGGGCTGCAGGGCTGGAAAGAAGGATGCTGACTGACCTGAAGTTCGAGGGAAATAAAAGGAGAGGTTTTGGGTGGGTTAATGCAGCCCTTCCGCTTCCTCCTAAAATGGGTGTCCCCAGGGCCCCCTTTCTGCGAACTCTGGCACTTGTGAACCAGCTCCCTATACTAGATTCAGGGAGGGAGCCGCGTTGGTCTGATGCAGTTAAAATAAATCTTAAAAAAATGAAAAAATGGTCCAGTAGCAACTTAGAGACCAGCAATGTTTCTTCTGGATAAAAGCTTTTGTGTGCAGGCAGACTTCTTCAAATACACTGAAGCGGAAGTCCCCACACGATGATATATAAAGGGAGGGGAGTCCCCAGACCCTGATATATAGAGGGAGGGGAGTCCCCAGACCCTGATATATGGAGGGAGGGGAGTCCCCAGACCCTGATATATAGAGGGAGGGGAGTCCCCGGACCCTGATATATAGAGGGAGGGGAGTCCCCAGACCCTGATATATAGAGGGAGGGGAGTCCCCAGACCCTGATATATAGAGGGAGGGGAGTCACCAGACCCTGATATATAGAGGGAGGGGAGTCCCCGGACCCTGATATATAGAGGGAGGGGAGTCCCTGGACCCTGATACATAGTGGGAGGGAAGTCCCCAGACCCTGATATATAGAGGGAGGGGAGTCCCTGGACCCTGATATATAGTGGGAGGGAAGTCCCCAGACCCTGATATATAGAGGGAGGGGAGTCCCCGGACCCTGATATATAGAGGGAGGGGAGTCCCCAGACCCTGATATATAGAGGGAGGGGAGTTCCCAGACCCTGATATATAGAGGGAGGGGAGTCCCCAGACCCTGATATATAGTGGGAGGGAAGTTCCCAGACCCTGATATATAAACGGAGGGGAGTCCCCAGACCCTGATATATAGTGGGGGTGGGTGGGTGGGGTTTTCTCCAAAGGGGTGTAGGACTCAGTGGGTATGGTCAACCTGCTAGCGACTATGAATGAGTGAAAAAGCAAGGGATGGTATGCAGATAACCCAAAATAGCTTTAGCGTGTGTAAAGAGACAGGAATTCAATATCTCTATTCAGACCCCATAGTTTTCAGCTAAGTGATAAGTTGCAATTCACCCACTTCTCTTTCAAACCTATTTCTGAAATTGTTTTGCAATAAGACAGCTGCTTGGAGATCCTGTATTTAATCTCCCAGGAGGTGGAAGTGTTCTCCTACTGCAGTGATTGGGCAAACTCGGCCCCCCAGCTGTGTTGGGACTACAATTCCCATCATCCCTAGCTCACAGGACCAGGGGTCAGGGATAATGGGAATTGTAGTCCCCAAACAGCTGGAGGGGCAAGTTGGGCCACCACTGCTCTAGATCAGGCATGGCCCAACTTGGCCCTCCAGCTGTTTTGGGCACTACAACTCCCATCATAACTAGCTCACAGGACTGGCGGTCAGGGAGGATGGGAGTTGTAGTCCCCAAACAGCTGGAGGGCCAACTGGCTTCTCTGCCGTGTGATTCCTGATTTCAGATTGATGCCCATTTATCCTTTGGCATAGAGTCTGGCCTGTTTGCCCAATATAGGGAGCCGAAGGGCACTGCTGGCATTTGATGGCATACACAGTGTTAGAAGACGAGCAATGAAATAGGCCTGAGATGGGATGTTGAATGTTGCTGGGTCCAGTTTCTAACTCAGGCAACCCCAACCTTCGGCCCTCCAGATGTTTTGGACTACAATTCCCATAATCCCTGACCACTGATCCTGTTAGCTAGGTATCGTGGGACTCAATGGGTATCGTCAATCTGTTGGCAACTGTGAACGACTGCAATTAGTCCACCAGTAGGCATGTCCAACAGGTAGATCGCAATCTCCTGGTAGATCGTGGGGCTTTCCTGGTCGATCTCTGGCCCCTCAGGGATCTCCTTCCCCCCAGAATAAAAAAGAACAAAAGGAATAAAAAAAGCTCAACAACTACTGCTTCCTGTTATGTTCTGTGTATATCGCAAGGCTCATTCGGTTTCATTCATTCATATTTCGCATTCCATTCATTCATATCTTCCATTTCTTTCTTTCATTTGCTTCCATAGAGAAAGCCCGTCAATGTTGGCTTCCGGAAAAAAGCCGGACAGCTTTGCCTTTCAAAAAAACATGCGGCAACTTTGGCTTCTGGGAAAAAGCCAGACAACTTTGCCTTTCCAAAAAAAGCTCAGCAACTTTTGACTCCTAGCCAAAAAGTGGACCATCAAATTAAGGTCCACTATTGGACTGGGGGTTCAAGACCCTCAACTGTGTATTAAACATATTCGACTTTTGATTATGTTTTGTGTGTATCGCAATGCTCATTCAGTTCCATTCATTCATCTATTCCAGGGATGTCTAACAGGTCAGTTGCGATCTACTGATAGATCCCCACGAGGTTTTGGTAGATCGTAGTTGATCTCTGGCTCCCTCGCCTAGCCCTCCATTGTTGTATGATCTCTGGAAGGGAAGAAGGAACTTTCTCTGTGCTGCTGTTTTTATGCATATTGATTTTTTTCTTGAGTGACTTTACCCCTTCGTCCGTTGCCTTTAACCCCCCCCCCCCGAAAACAGAACTCTCCCCCCCAAAAGCCCCTCCCTAAAAATAGCTCGACAACTTTGAGCTGAACCCCCCCCCATAAAACAGGGGTAGATCACTGCCAGTTTTTAATTCTGAATGCAGTCTCTTGAGAGTTGGCCACTCCTGCAGTTCCATTCATTCATATATTCCGTTCCATTCATTCATATATTCCGTTCCATTCATTCATATATTACCTTTCACTCATTCTTATCTTCAGTTCCAATCATTCATTTGCTTCCCAAGAGAAGCTCCACAACTTTGATCCGTCCAATGACAACAGGTAGATCACTGCCAGTTTTTTTGTACTGGGAGTAGATCACAGTCTATTGAGAGTTGGACATCCCTGTCCTACAGGAAAAAGCAAGGGATAGTATGCAGTGACCCAAAACAGCTTTCATACGTGTAACGAGACAAGAATCCAATATCTCTATTGTGCAGCCAAATACTGTATTTTTGCATCTATAAGATGCCCCCTATTTTGAGGGACTCCCGATTTAAGAAAATGGGGGAGGTGGCCCCCGTGTATAAAATGCCTCCAAATTTTGGACATTATTCTTTAGGGGGAAAACCTAGTCTTACACACGGAAAAAATGTGGTAACTAATTGCAATTAAAACTCCACCTGTCTTCCGTTTCTTATTAGTTCTTTCTTTCTCTCTCACTTTTGAACAGAACTGTGAACACTAGGACCCTGGAAAGAGTCCAGACTCTCCGCTTCAGGAATTTGGGGTTCCCCCTAAGTCATATGAAGGCCTTGTTTTTGGAAAAGCTGCTTGTTGAACCCCCCTCCCCCCGAGTTTGGCGCCGGAAAAGAAGTAAAGTCTACCCCGCCTGACTTTGCACCTTGGAAACCTTTCAGGTAGACTGTTGCTTTAATGAGTTTTCGTTAGAGGGACTGTTTGAACGCAGGTTTCTCAAAGGGGTGGGAAGGAAACGTTTTCCCTTCCGTGAATTGTTCATTATTCTGTTAGTAGCTTGTATTGGAGATTTACCAAATATTGTTGCACAGAGCACAGCCAGCCTAATAAAATGAAACCTAACCTTTATTAAACCACCTTGTCCTTGTCTTAACTGGCTTCACATGCACGCTCCATTATTGAAGGAGAGCTTCGTTTCAATCGTTAAGAGCGAGCCACAGGCAATAGGTTGGACTGTTTCTGCCATAAAAAAATCTAGCTTAGGGCTAAGATCTCTTCCGGCGCTTGGCAACAAATGTCTTGCTCATGGCAAGTGGCAAGTTACATTTTTTTCCGTCTATAAGAGGCCCCCATGTATAAGACGCCCCCTATTTTGGGGGACTTAAAGAAAATGGGGGGAGATGTATACGTGTATAAGACGCCCCCTTCTTTTCGACATTATATTTTGGGGGGGAACCTAGTCTTACACAGGGGAAAATACGGTATTTTGGTGAGCTCGCCAACAATGATCGAGTGCCGTCATTGTAATGTAGCGCTGTCGGGGCTGCAAACTGCTGTTAGCCACTGGTGGACGGAGGTGGCCCATGCCTGGGGTGGGGGGTTGACAAAATCCCCCCTGGGCTGATTGGCGTTGTGGCGGGTGAATTTCCGCGACAGGCACAATTGCCGCTGCGGAAATCCGCCCGCTGATCGCGCAAATACGCCAGGCGGGCAGCACTCCCATCCCCAGCAGGCGGCACCACATGCTGGGTGTATATGCGCAGGTGGCGGCACTCTCGGGAGGATCGGTGCGCCTCCAGGTACGCGTCATATTTGCCGCCCCGGGTGCCCCAGCAGCTTCCCCCGCAACTGGATCCCCACCGACAACGGTCGAGTGTCATTATGGCAACGTGGTGTGCAGTGCTCTACGGGGCCTGCAAATTGCTGTCAGCCCCCACTTGTTGAAGGCGACGACTCGCCATGAGACACTCAGCAAGGACCCGCAAAGTGCGTGGAAGGGGGGCCAGAATGGCCGAGACCAATGCCCAAATAACCTGCCAGGAGCCCCACCCCAACCCCAAATGTTTGGAGGGGGCTCGGGAAGCCCACTGCATGGAGCGTCTTCCCTGATTTACCTTTAAAGCAGGCATAGGCAAACTCCGGCCCTCCAAATTTTTGGACTACAGTTCCCATCCTCCCTGACCACTGGTCCTATTAGCTAGGGAATTGTAGTCCCAAACATCTGGAGGGCCGGAGTTTGCTTATGCCTGCTTTAAACCCATCTTTATTTACTTTATTTACATTGAAAGCCATCTTAAAGTCATGCACCACCTGGAATACGTTTCCACAGGGGAAGCCTCTTCACCGTTGTGAAGCCAGCGCGCATCTGAGCATGTCGAGAAAGCGAGAGGCGTGACGTCAGCAACATGCCCAATCTGTCAAGCTGGGTCACTGCGCATTTTGTTTTTTCGGGGCTTGCGCAGGTTTGGGGCCAAGCCCCATTGAAGTGAGCGCCAGCCCCACAGCAATGCCACCCCTGTCCTATGCTCCCCATTGCGTGCTTGCCATTGCTTGTGCTTTGAACAGGTTTAAAAACAACAGCAACATGTATTTAAGTCAGGCATTCTGAAACTCGGCCCTCCAGCTGTTTTGGGACTACAATTCCCATCATCCCTGACCACTGGTCGTGTGAGCTAGGGATGATGGGAGTTGTAGTCCCCAAACATCCAGAGGGCCGAGTCTGGGGGTGCCTGATTTAAGTTGATATTCACACGTCAGTTTTTGTGCATATTGGTGTACATAAAAGCAGTATCGAACCCCTGAGGTTGTGTGTGTGTGTTGTGGTTTTGTTTGTTTGTTTGTTTTTGTCTTCATTAATTATTCTGTCCTTCTCTTCGTTTGACCTCGCTGCTTGCCTCTGCTGTTTGTGTCAAGCAGTGGTGGCCAAACTTGGCCCTCCAGCTCAGTGGCGTAGCGTGGGTTGTCAGCACCCGGGGCAAGGCAAGTAATTTGCGCCCCCTAACCCGTGGATTTGCGCCCCCTAACCTGTGGATTTGCCCTAACCCCAGATGTTGCGCCCGGTGCGGCCGGCCCCCCCTGCACCCCCCACGCTACGCCACTGCTCCAGCTGCTTGGGGGCTACAATTCCCACCATCCCTGACCACTGGTCCTGTTAGCTAGGGATGATGGGAGTTGTAGTCCCAAAAGAGCTGGAGGGCCAAGTTTGGCCATGACTGGCATAAAGCAACCTATTTAGCCTCCAGCCCTTGGACAGTGTTCTGCGTAAAGCAGTGATGGCCAATCTGGGCCTTTATGCCACCACTGGCATAAAGGGATGAAGTCTGTGGCTAAGAGAGAACAGCAGCTGCGTCCTTGTCCTCGAGTCCTGAATCGCTAGGTGTCCCTTGTCAAAAGATTAATAATAATAATTTATTCTATAAAGAGCGGCTTCCCAGATCAGTGACCCCTCGGCTTTCAGGGCAGATGTTCATATTGGCACGATGCCCCATTTCTTGGGATTGCAGTTGGGAACTAGAGATCCAGCCCCCTTTCCATCTCATCCTCTGCCCTCTCCCAAACCTTTTTGCCATTCCCAAATATTTTAGAGCAGTGCCTTAGGTTGAAACAAAATGTATTTTTGTATGATCACTCTTTTCATTCTGGCAGAGACAATCATTTGGACAAGCATGATGACTCCAGTATTTTCCCCTGTGCAAACTGATGCCTGTTGAATGCTGTATGTAAATGCGTATTGTATTCACTGTTAAATAAATTTTCCCATTGAAAGCAGCCTGCAGTTGGTTATTAACAGATGATCCAAAACGGTTGCTGTTGGCACGGAGAAATGCAGAGCTTCTGAAACTGACTTTGTATTGACCTATCGTTGGTTTAATAATAATAATAATCAGAATAGATTCAGGTAGGTAGCCGTATTGGTCTGACAGTCAAAATAAAAAAATTAAAAATTGTCGCACCTTAGAGACCAACTAAGTTTGTTCTTGGTATAAGCTTTCATGTGCATGCACAATTCTTCAGATACACTGAAACAGAAGTCACCAGACCCTTATATATAAAGGGAGGGTGGAGCGGGGGTTTTCTTCATAATTACTTTTCTATGTATTACTAATATAACTGTAAAAAACGACTCTGAAAATGTATTAGTCCAAAAAGGAAACCTTCCTCCCAGTTGTCAATATGAAGAGGATACCAGCAAGGTTGAACTTTTCTGTAAAAAAAAAATTAAATTAAATCAAGTCTTGCTGACTCGTGATTTACCGTATTTTTCACTCCATAGGGCGCACCTAGTTTTTAGAGGGGGAAATCAAGGGGGGGGAATTATCCCCCCCCAGACCCAAAGAGCAGCATACAGGCTGCGTGCGACCTCTCCCTGCTGGAGGTGTTGCACGCGGCTATGGCACAAGCCAAGACAGTGAGCGGGATGGATCCTGCTCGCTGCTTTGGCTTCCTCTTTAGCCGCGCACAACCTCTCCCTGCCGGAGGGGTTGCGCGCGGCTATGGCACAAGCCAAGACAGCGAGCAGCATCCATCCCACTGACTGTCTTGGCTTGTGCCATAGCCGCGCGCAACCCCTCCGGCAGGGAGAGGCTGCGCGGGGCTAAAGAAGCCATAGCCACGTGCAGCCTCTCCCTGTCGGAGGGGCTGTGCACGGCTATTCCTGAAGCCTTCTGAGCGCAGCGCAAGTTCCCGCTGCGCTCCTCAGGCTTCGTGTTCCTTTTGCTGAAAGGAACCTGAAGCCTCCAGAATGCAGCGGGAACTTGCGCTGCGCTCCAAAGGCCTTCAGGCGGCTATCCCTGAAGCCTGGAGAGCGAGAGGGGTCAGTGCGCACCAACGCCTCTCGCTCTCCAGGCTTCAGCGATAGCAACACGAAGCCTCCGGAGCGCGGAGGGAGCGCTCCCTCCGCGCTTTGGAGGCTTAGCGTTGCTATCGCTGAAGCCAAGGAGCCTGCATTCGCTCCATAGGACGCACACACATTTCCCCTCAATTTTTGCAGGGGAAAAAGTGCGTCCTATAGAGCAAAAAATACGGTAAATTGTGATTTATATCCTGATTAAAATTGATTTGATTTAAGTCAAATCCACCCTGGTTCTCAACAAGCCTGAATTTGAGAGAGAAGCCTCTTGAAATGGGGGGCAGATGTACAACGATCCAACTCTAAGAGCTGAATAGTAGAGATACTCTCTTTAGGGAGCAGTCATAGAATCATAGAATCATAGAGTTGGAAGAGACCACAAGGGCCATCGAGTCCAACCCCCTGCCAAGCAGGAAACACCATCAGAGCACTCCTGACATATGGTTGTCAAGCCTCTGCTTAAAGACCTCCAAAGAAGGAGACTCCACCACACTCCTTGGCAGCAAATTCCACTGTCGAACAGCTCTTACTGTCAGGAAGTTCTTCCTAATGTTTAGGTGGAATCTTCTTTCTTGTAGTTTGGATCCATTGCTCCGTGTCCGCTTCTCTGGAGCAGCAGAAAACAGCCTTTCTCCCTCCTCTATGTGACATCCTTTTATATATTTGTACATGGCTATCATATCACCCCGTAACCTCCTCTTCTCCAGGCTAAACATGCCCAGCTCCCTTAGCCGTTCCTCATAAGGCATCATTTCCAGGCCTTTGACCATTTTGGTTGCCCTCCTCTGGACCCGTTCCAGTTTGTCAGTGTCCTTCTTGAACTGTGGTGCCCAGAACTGGACACAGTACTCCAGGTGAGGTCTGACCAGAGCAGAATACAGTGGCACTATTACTTCCCTTGATCTAGATGCTATACTCCTATTGATGAGGCCCAGAATTGCATTGGCTTTTTTAGCTGCCGCGTCACATTGTTGGCTCATGTCAAGTTTGTGGTTAACCAAGACTCCTAGATCCTTTTCACATGTACTGCTCTCAAGCCAGGTGTCCCCCATCTTGTATTTGTGCCTCTCATTTTTTTTGCCCAAGTGCAATACTTTACATTTCTCCCTGTTAAAATTCATCTTGTTTGTTTTGGCCCAGTTCTCTAATCTGTCAAGGTCGTTTTGAAGTGTGATCCTGTCCTCTGGGGTGTTAGTCACCCCTCCCAGTTTGGTGTCATCTGCAAATTTGATCAGGATGCCCTTGAGTCCATCATCCAAGTCGTTGATAAAGATGTTGAATAAG